TCATTTACATTTCTCTTGCTTAACTCTATTTTGACATGCTTACCATTGAGCAAGGGAAAGCACAAGCATATGGTTATTATAGCCAACTTCCTTCCAGTTCCAACCTCATTTTTTGCTGCAAACATCTAGGGGAACCAGGAGGTTCTCCAAGTCATTCACTAATATGAAAAAGACTGAAGGCCAAATGTATTAATTTACTAATGAGATTTACATGTGTAAGTGCAGACTATAGATTCTGACAGCTTATAAGGAAATAATATCCTATATGCCCTGAATCCACACGTATGTCTATCTAAGAAATGTAAACTTTCTAAGATAATCCAAGTTATACTATCAAAAAATAGCTATTTTTTTAAAAGTTACTTTTGATAGGGACTTCCCTGGCAGTCCAGTGGTTAAGATTCTGCGCTTCCACTGCAGGGGCCACGGGTTCAATCCCTGGTCAGGGAACTAAGATCCTGCATGCTGCATGGCGTGGCCAAAAAAAAAAAAGTTACTTTTGATAAACCACTATATCATATTTAAACCATGACACTTTTCCCTTGAAGTGGTGTTAGGTGTATTTGCAACTGGCAGCGTTAACTCACTTCAGCAACTTGGAGACCAGCAACCCCCAAGGATGTGCTCCTTGCTGGAGAATACCAAACACTTGTTATGATGCCAATCAGGAAATGACGGCTGAAGGGGCAAATCTTAGAAATGGTATATTTTTGCAGTCAGAAAAGAAAATGCACTACTTTAATAATTTTTCAACTTGATTTAATTATAAAATTGCATACACGTAAAAATCCAAACAGTAGAGAATGGTATACAATAAAAAATTAAAATATCACTTTCCCCACAAGCCTCAAGTTTCACTCCCTAGAAGCATGCACTGTGAAGTTTCTTCTGTTACCTCTCAAAAATATTTTATGTATAGTCATATAAATGCATGTTCTTTTTATTTAACCAAAAATGGGATTTTACTAAATACCTTCTGCATCTAGCTTTTAAAATTTAATATATCTTGAAAAAATGTCCAAATCAGCACATATTCATTTATTTTTGCATTCAAGGGATATTTATTAAGTATTAGGTACTAGGAATAAAAAGGTAAGCAAAACAGATTAAGGTCTTTCCTCTCACAGAATGTATATTCCAGTGAGGGCAGCAAAAGTATATCTTTTTTTTTAGAGTATCATTACAGATTACGAAGGAAACAAAAAGGGGGATGTTTTATAGTAGACCCACTTTAGATAGGTGGGGCAAGTGTGGCCTCACTGAGAAACTGACATAGAAGCTGAGATCAAAGAAAATAATTAGTCACTCAAAAAACTGGGACAAGAGAATTCTAGGCAGGAGCAAAGGCCTTGAGATGTGAAAATTGTTCGGCATGTTCCAAAAACTAAGCGTAGGCCAAGGTGACTGGTGTGTAACAATAGAGGGGAAGCAAGAGATGTGGTAAACCATGTGACAGGTGTGGATATTTTATCTCTTTTTAAAATATTTTGTATTTAATTTTATTGTGGTAAAGTATACATAACATAAATTTATCATTTTAACAATTTTTAAGTGTATAATACAGTGGCATTAAGTATATTCACAATTCAGTCACAAACCATCATCATTATACATTTCCAGAACTTTTTCATCATTCCAAACAGAAATTCTGTACCCATTAAACAGCAACTCCCATCCACTCTTCACCCCAGCCTCTGGTAACTCCTGTTTCACTTTCAATCTCTTTAAATTTGCCTATTCTAAGTACCTCATATGTGTAATCATACAATATTTGTCTTTTTTTGTCTGGCTTATTTCACTTAGCATAATGTCTTCAAGGTTCATCCATCTTATAGCATATATCAGAGTTTCCTTCCTTTTTAAGGCTGAATAATACTCCATTATATGTATGTACCACATTTTGTTTATCCATTCATCCACTGATGGCATTTGGGTTGTTTCTACCTTTTGGCAATTGTGAATAACGCTGCTATGAACACTGTTGTACAAGTATTTGAGTCTCTGCTTTCTATTTTTTAGGTCTATACCCTGAAGTGAAATTGCTGGATCACAAGGTAATTTTATGTTTAACATTTAGAGGAACCACCATACTGTTTTCCACAGTGGCTACACCACTTTACATTCTCACCAGCAATGGTGCATGGGTTCCAATTTCTCCACGTCCTTGCTAATACTTGTTATTTTGCTATTGTTTTTCAAATAATAGTCATCCTAATGGGTGTGAAGTGGTATCTCACTTTTTGAGATTAGTTTTGATTTACATTTTCTTAATGGTTAGTTACATGGAGCATCCGTTTCATGTGCTTATTGGCCATTGGTATATCTTCTTTGGAGAAATGTCTATTCATGTCCTTTGTCCATTTTTGAGCTGGGTTAAATTTGTTGTTGTTGTTGAGTTGTAGGAGTTCTTCATATATTCTGGATATTAATCCCTTATCAGATATATGCTTTGCAAATATTTTTTTCCATTCTGTGAATTGTCTTTGACAATCTCTTGATAGTGTCTTTTGATGCACAAAAATTTTTAATCTTGGTGAAGTCCAATTTATGTTTTTCTTTTGTGGCCTGTGCTTTTGTGTCATTTCCAAGAAATTATTGACAAATCAGTAATAGTGGCTGCCACACCTGCCCACCCAGCAAAGGCCTGGTGAAGGTGGCTGCCCATGTTGAAATTAGGTAGTGGAAGTAATGTCCTTCCAGGAGTCTGTGATGGCAGGCTGAGGCCCAAGTCACTACTTAACGGAAGAAACAGTGCCCACTTGGGGCCCCAAACAAAGAATTTTCCCCCCTATTCTTGGTCTTCTTGGATATGACATCCTACCTTCACTCCATCCCTTGTGTATTAAGTAAACATTGGCCATGTCCTGCTTGGCTGGCATGATGGTAAGGCCCGTCTGCTTTTCTTTGAGGTCTGGTTCACTCACAACTTGATCACCTAATCACATATGTTCTTCCTTTCTAAACTTCCATAATTATTTTTCTAAAATGAAAACTCTAATCATGTGCTTTTAATGATTTTTTAAGGCTAAAACTTACACCATGACCCATCATAAGCTTCACAATTAGGCCCTGCACACTGTGTCACACTCCAGCCCCACGAAGGGGTTCAGAGGAAAGTTCAGTGCTAATGATATTGGCGGTCTTTTTCAAACAAAGAATTTTAAGCCCCTGTAAAGCATTCAACAAAAACTTTATATAAATGTTAGCAACCCGGGCTCTTGGACTCTTTAATCAATAGATACTGATAAGGGTCCAAATGACAATTTCAGGCAAGGCTTTATTGGGGCTTGTGCTGCAGCATGAGGGAGCGAAAGAAGTACAGGTGTCCTTGTTCGCTCCCAGAGAGGAGCTGCTTGGGAGCTTAAACGGGATAACAACCAGGGCGGGTCTGTGGGTTGGTCAGGAGGCATGGCTCAGGTGGTCTGCCCACCCCCTTGGTGGTGCCCTGTGCAGGGATCATGCTTTTTGCTCCCAGCACCTCAGAAGTGGCAGTTGGTTTGTGGCCAATTTGTATCTTATTACTCATAATTGCCCCAACTGCACACGTATGCAGTTATTTTTAGTCCCTTATAGTTTCTTTCAGGTGCAAGCACGGGTTAAAGGGTCCCAGGTCCCAGCCTATCACATAAAGATGAATTCTTTGATAAAGTGAGTATAATCACAATTTGTTTTGCTAGGTTTAGATTTTCACACCATGTTTCTTTGAGGCAAATATATTCTGCCCTGGATTTTGTATCAATTTCTTGGATTTTGTTAACCAAGAATTCCAAGAACAGAGACCTGGTTGAAATAAAGAGGTGTTTATTTGGGGTGTGTTAGGACTGCAGCCCAGGAGATACAGCTCCAGGGAGCACTTGAACTGTGTTCTGCCATACTACAAAATGGGGGAAGCTCATAAAGGCAGAAAACCATAAGATTACATAAATTGTTTGTCAAGAATTAGGATTGGAGCTGGCAAGAAGTAAGGGTGCTTGCTATAAACATGGATTGTTTGGGCGTTGAAATGACTACATAGCTGCCATAGGTAGTGGGTAACCTTTGAGACTACAAGGTTGCAGCTAGCAGCTGCTAGCACATACTGTTTTGAAAACAGCTGGTGGTGTCCTGAGTTTGACACAGTGCAGAAAACTGAAGTTCTCAGTGATGCAGGAACATGTCTGAAACCACACCCAACACTGTCCACCCAGCTCAATTTTGAATGCCTGAAACCATAGTTACTCCATTTTGATTTTTAAATGACTTAAAATATGTCAACAACTTCCAGTTTATACAGGAGGGATGATGTGTCTTTTACGGATTCAACTGTTTAATTATATGTTTTCATATGTATTCTTTCTGGAAACAAGATCATCAGCCTGTCTCTCCTCTAGCACTAAGCCTAATGCTATGCAGCCAGGACTCAAGATACAGTGATTGCGAGAAACAAGCGTAATAAAACACAAAATCAACAGCAAATTATAACATGTTCATAAAAACAAGGCAAGTGACTGCTTTATGAATGCTTTTTGTTAACGCTCTACTATTACTATCAATCAAATTAGTAACAATATCTATTGTTATAATATAGAGGAAATGTAACAGCTCCTTTTTTTTCTGGTAACTAGTTCTTCTGTGTGTGTTAAGGGGTCGATTCCAGATGCCCTTACTCTAAATTGGGATGTCCAATACCACCACTTTTTAAAGTACTGAACTACCCGAGAAAGTAGAAGACCAAGCAAATATAACTAAGAATGGGAGACCCTTTCTTTTTAGAGCATTTTCTGCTTGCTTGGATCCATTACAAACTGGTAGACTAATCACTTACATACTCAAGGGGAGAGCTCACAGCGAGGTCCTCAGGAGCCCCGAAAGCCTCTATGGAAATTCACAAAGCGCCTCCTCTGCGGGCCACGTAAACTTGCGGCGCTGCCGAAGGGCGCCGGCTGCAGGGGCGGGGCCAGAGCCGGAAGGGGCGGGGCCAGAGCCGGAGCGCCGAGCGCCCCTCCCGGCCGCGGTGCTTTCTTTTCTGCCGGGCCGCGGGAGAAGGAAGGCGCTTCGGGAACCGTCTGCCTAGCGGGCGGGGCGGCAGCGCCTGCGGGCCTGTCGCCGGGCTCTTTGAGGGGGTGGGGGGGAGTACCAGTCTGACAAGTACCAGTCCCTGCGGTGTTAGATCCTCGTCTTTTTTTCCTGCCTGGAACCTGGCTCCGAGCCAGAGCGCGTGGGTCCGCCTCGGGCCTCTCCGCTCTGTGGGTCCCGCTCCCGAGGCCTCCATCCCCGTGCCCTCCGTCCACAGCCGGGCACAGCGGAGCGGTCGGCGCAGCCTCAGCCGCAAGGTCATGTCAGGAGGCCCCTTCCTCTCCGCCTCCCCAGTTGACGCAGCCTCGAGCTTTCCTCCGCGCCTTCTGCTCAGTCGCATTTTGTGAGTAGCCGTTACCTGTCTTAGCTGACCCTTCTCCTTAGTAAGCGCCGATTAAGACTGTTCTCAGCTCAAACTAAGTAAGGGCCTTCTGCGATTCACTTGGTTCTGAGGCGGCTGGAAGGCGCGGCGGGTGGCTTGGCCGGAGCCCTTTTGTATCCCCAGTAAAGCTTTGTGTGCGGCCTAGATGGTTTCAGGGTCCCTTAAATGGGCGCTCATTTATCCTTACTAAGGAAACGTTCTATAGCGGGGGAAGGGATCTTAGGCCTCAAGACAACCTTGACATGACTTTGTGATTGGTTTTTAAATTTGTTAACAGAGCACAGTTTACCTACTAACAATGAGTTCTCGACGCAGTGTAGCATTGTCGGCATTTGTTCCCGGATCTTCCTTTGTGAATATGCTCTGGAGACGTGGCATTGAAGTTGGAGAAGAATCCGTACAGTATAGGAGGCCCTGAGGCTGTAAATGCCGGCTATACCCTTAGATGCTTCGGGTCACAGAGATGTGTATTTCCCGATACAATACAGAAGAAACCGGTCAAGAGCTGGGAGACTGGAAGAACTTTTGCCTCTTCAAAAGCAAAGGTATAAATGAACCTGGTCCATGGGACTTGGTATCGTCATACGTTTGTTTGTTTTTTTCCTCCCCCCAATTTGAAATACAGATTGTTTCATGTAAAACAATTCAACGGTTAACTGTCAAGGCAAATGTGATGGCTGGTAGTTTATATTTGGTATCACAGTCATCGTTTTTGAGGCCTAAGCAGCTTGAATACTACTTTTTCATTGCTAAGTGTTGGTATTTTTTTAAATTTTACAAAATAAATGTTTGATTAAAGTTTTGATTATGTAAGTCCTTAAACATAATAAATATACAAAAGCCCACTGATCCATTTAAGAACTGGGATATTATCAATACCATAACATCTGTTTGCTTCCCTATCCCAGTCCTTCCTTCCTTCCTTCCTTCCTTCCTATCCCATGCCTTCCATCCTGAAGTGCCCATCATCTGGGATTTTGTGCCCAGACTCGGTTTTTTGAGGGGAGTAGGGTGGATAGCAGTTTTATTATACATACATATCCCTAAACATTCTTTGTTTGTTTTAGGCCTTAAACAAATAGGACTTTCATGTATCAATAGTTGTCAGAAGTGCCATGAATCATATATTAAAGTGAAGTTTTCCAAGTTGGAATTATTCATAACCAATAGTATGTGTTCCTAATATTATGTGAGAGATTTCAGCATTTCAAGACTTGAAAATGATAAATTGTCTTGCAAGGCCCAACATTTGATATGTCTTCATAAATCATTTCCAATAGCTGTCCAGTTCAATGATTTATCCTCCTGGGGTTCTGTAGGACATGATCTGTGGCCCTGGCCATGCCCTTTGCAGTACATAGATATGCTTTCAGGCAACTTGGGACTTAATTCTACAGGACTGTGTCCAGTAATGATGTCAACATAATGTATCTCTGCTCTGAAACTATATTAGATATGCCATAATAATGCTCTTAGTTAGAGGTCTGCACACTTGTTTTTATATATCTAACCTTTAACCTGGCTCACCTCATTCTTGTCAAGCTCTGAGGCAGAAAAGCAATGGTTGGGTACTCATTAGGACCATCATGTCTTAAAATCTGTACTGCCACAGTAAAAGAGCATCATAAATATATCCATCATTTTTGCCCATGCTAATGAATCCATTTCCAGCTTGGAAAGATCATTTATGGAAGTATTAGGGCCTAACCGGTCAAAAGGACTAACACATCCTCAAGTCATTATAGATATTTAAAATTGGGGGCTCATCACTTTGACTACCAAAAAAAGTATAATTAAGCAGCAAGCACATTCTTTTGTTCCTTCAGAGGTGTGTTAAACAACAGATAGAAAATGACTCCACTATATAGTCTTAATGTTAGTAGTTTTTATTATAAATTTGATTGGGAGTCAGGAAGATTGCAAGGTTTTTTTTTTTGTTTTTTTTTTTTTAATGGCTCCTTATAAGAACGGGAAAAAAAATCCTACTGGACCGTACTACATATAAGATGCCAGACAAACAGATACAAATACAAATGAGAATTCACGATGAAATATATTTAATTTCTAGGTACAACAGAGCCTATGAGTTGAAGATGAAAGAAGGTCGTTGTGATAAATGCTTTCCAAAAACTTGTCATAGAGGATGGCTGTGAAAAAACCACCAGGAGGACAGCTGTGCATGTAACAAGGTACCAAAAGTTTAATGTAAATTGTGTGCTTTTTTATGTGTTTGTGGTATTGTTCCTGAAGCACAGTACCAAAAATGTTTAGTAACTGGCACAATGATGACTTACTTTTTGCCGTTTACCCAGCTGAGGGTATCTTTGAAGACATAATTTAAGACTGAGATGCCAATAATATATATTATGTGAATTACTCAAATATAATGCAGTTTTTTATTAAAATGGATGAAATGTTCTTTTCAGCATATAAGTACCTGCAGATGAATGTTCAAGTCCTTAGCAGTGGTGTTTAAAAATTCTTCGTTGCCTCAAGTAAGTAATTAAGATTTATCAAGCAACCACATCTAGAGATAATTTGAAAGTACCTGATAAATTCCAAAGGGCTGAGGCCATTTCCTGTTAAAGGTGCCTTTGTGTGTCAGGTTTTGATTTTCTTCGAGTTTTGATTATGGATCGATTTTCACTGTTGGTTTCTGATTTTTTTCCAGAGGTGTGGCATACAACATTTTGGAAGGGAAAATGAAGAATTGGTCAAGAAGACATGAATTAAAGCAAATGACAAAAATTAATATTTTATTTAACATTGATCATCTCACAATAAATTATGTAGAAAAATATAAGTTCAAATGATTTTAATTGCTGGGCAATAAAGTCTCTTTTCTTTAAAATAGATCAGGTCTTTAAACAGCTTCATTTTCTCTTTTTTTTAAGATTTTTTTATAAGTTTATTTTATTTTACAAATTTATTTATTTATTTTTGGCTGCGTTGGGTCTTTTTTGCTGTGCGTGGGCTTTCTCTTGTAGCGGCGAGCAGGGGCTACTTTTGTTGCGGTGCGCAGCCTTCTCATTGTGGTGGCTTCTCTCGTTGCGGAACACAGGCTCTAGGCGTGCGGGCTCAGTAGTTGTGGCTCGCGGGCTCTAGAGCACAGGCTTAGTTGTGGCGCACAGGCTTAGTTGCTCTGCAGCATGTGGGATCTTCCCGGACCAGGGCTCAAACCCGTGTCCCCTGCATTGGCAGGCGGATTCTTAACCACTGTGCCACCAGAGAAGCCCCTAAACAGCTTCATTTTCATAGTTAGTAGTCAGACTTGTTTTTAACATACTTTAGGGATAGTATATTCTTGTCAGTAACTAGCTCCTCTGTGGATAGTGATTCTCTTTGAAGTGTCAGGTGGTGGGCAGCTGGGGAGACTTTTTTGTACATCCAGTTCTCATACCCTTTCTTGCTTTACTGTGTTTCTGGAGAGGTGCTAATCACTGCGTACTAAATAACTATGAGGGCCTCCCCTTTAGAACCTGCTGTTGTTCCTGAAAAACAAGCATAGTTGACCCTTGACCCTTAGGGGCGCCAACACTCCCTAAAGTCAAAAATCCAAGTATAGCTTTATAGTCCACCCACTGTATCCAAGGTTCCACATCCTCTGATTCAGTCAGCTGCAGATTGTATAGTGTAGTATGTATGTATTGAAAAAAAGAAAATCCACCCTTTATGTGGACCCATGCAGTTCAAAGCTGTGTTCAAGGGTTAACTAGTTGAAATTTTCTCAACTTAAATTACCCATTATAAGTAAAGGTTTCACCTATGACCTACAGATTTTTTAATTTTGATTTTATTCTTTGTTTGCTTTTACATTTGTGAAGAAGAAAGGATTTGGGAATTAATTTAGGACAAATTAGGATTTGTCCTAATCCTAGTATTAGTAATAATCTAGATTAAGGCAAATAATGACTGGACAGTCCAATCTGTCCAGGGCATGCAAATTTACAAGAATTCAAAAACAACTGAAATCCTACCCAGGTGAAGATTTAAATTTAGCTAAATCTTGCTTTTCCCCTGTTGAGTCCCACAGTACATAAATTCCTTGCTTTTATCAAGGTTATAATTTCAATATGGTAAGTCAAACAGTATAAATTGTACAGCAATATCACTTCCCATCAAAGGCAACATTTTTTTTTGAAAAGCACTTATATAATGAATCTCCCACCATGTTGCTTCAAGCTACCAGGAAACAAGCCCCACCAACACCCTTAATCTTAGCTCTTCTGCTGAAGAATTTGGCCTTCATGATGACAGGCTGCTTCGGGAGCTTTCCCTTCCCCAGAACTTTGTAGTAACTGATTGCACCACATCAATGATAGGAGCAGCTCCAATCTTGTTCTTGGCAGCATTTACCCCTGTCTGCTCACTGACCAAGGTCCACAATTTATCAAGGTTGACAGTTGGGCAGAAGCTCTGGTTCCTCTTTAAGTGGTAATGCCTCATACCAACTTTCCCAAAGTATCCTGGGTGATATTTGTCGAAATTGTTCCTGTGGTGATGCATGCCACCAGCATTACTGCGGCCTCCTGGGTGCTTACAGTGTTTGCCTAACATTTGAAAACCATTTTCCTCCCCAGTGTTTGATACTAGTCATTTCATCAACAGAATCTGAACACTGCACAATTAAGTGTAAAATGGGGGGCTATTTTATGTATCCTAGTTTTATAAAACATGTTTTGACTTCACCCCATAGAGAACAAAAAACTGAAATATATAAGAAGCCACAAAATAAGGTCTTTAATTTGTAATATATGATTTTTTTTTTAGACTAGGTTTGCCTTCTGAAAACAACACTGTATAGTCTCTGGCACTAGTGGATATTCAGTAAATACTGTTGAATGAACTGCAAGGAAAGAAAGTAGTAAGTGACTTGTTAAAAAGTCCTCTAGAGAGTGAGAGAGCTGTCTGCCTTCACAGTTAAACTCCATGAAGTACCTATTTCTAAAGAATTGATGCATGACAGTGTCTTGGTTAATAAGGTGGCAATTTTGTGATGACATTTTCCTTTTAGTGAGTAGAACTGTCTTTTTAATTAAAACTTTGGAAAATAAAAATAAGGATTTGGGGATTTTACAAGATAAGTATATTTTTGCACGGTGTTCCTCCCTTTTCAGAGCAGATATCTTCCCTCCAAAAATGAAGACGGTTTGCAAATTGGTTTCTTTGGCTTTTGGTACCTTTCTTGTAACTAGTTAGGTTTAAGGAGCCAATTACTGCTCCTTGATTCAATGGAACTTACTTCTTTTCATTTAACCTGGTTTAAAAATGGAAAATTTCCAGGGCTTTTCCTGATCCCATAATTAGGACTTCTAAAACAACATAATAGACATGTCAGTATCTAGCATGAAAAGTCCTTACATTGAAGGCTTCTGGTTATATAAATGCTGTTATTTACTCATCAACTTTTCAGGTTCACAAATGAAGAAAAAAATGGTTTTACTTTGTAAATAAATATTTAAAGTGTTATTGCCATCTTGTGACAAATAGAGGGAACTACACAAAAGTTACTATTTTTTTTTTTCCATTGCTTAGTTTGCAACATTCTTTATATTTTAATCTGTGGACCACTGGTACACTGGGCTAACCAGAAGTTTTTTTAATAAGATTATCCTAAATTATAAATTTCTGCTGTTGGCTTTGAGATTTGTATTAGTGTTTATTCCATTAGCAATTAATTTGAAGAAATCATATTTTATATTTTTTAAGGTGGCATTCTAATGTACCCCTACACACAAGATTACCTGAAGCATTACTTCAAAATCACTCACACTTTTTTCCACTGCTTAAAAAGGAATGAAGGAAAAATTTCCTCAGATTGCCTATTCATCGCTAGCAAAGATAGCTGTCCCAGGTCCATATGTGGCAATAAACTGTTGGAGCTGTTGTTGGCACTGAGTCAGATAGATATCCCTTTGCTCTAAATATTCTTCATTATACAGTTCAAATGGAAATACTGCATTTGGAGCAACACAAAGTACAGCGGCCCCTAAGTGAAGAAGGAAAAAGTATAAATGAGAAAAACAAAATGCTAAATATGAAATCATATTTTCAACAAAATAGTGAAAGTTTTACAATTAAGTACTGATCTACAGAGTATTTCAATAGCTATTATTTAAAAAAAAATTTTGAGACCCAGGAAACAGTTTCAGTAAATGCACAAACTGGTACCAGGGCCAATGGAAGAAACATTGATATTTAAATTTTAAAGTTTGGAAACTAGAAATTTGTCATCCATTGAAATAGCCATTAGTGTTCTGAAGCTGAATAGTGATGTGAGGAGGTGGAAGAAGTAAGGAGAGAAGGTATTGGAAGGTAGAGAAACAATAAAAAGATAAATCTATGGAATAGAAGAGAAATAACCTTGCATATATATTTAAATGATTTTTGACAAGGGTGTCAAGACCATTCAATGGGGAAAAGATGGTCTTTCCAACAAATGGTGCTGTGAAAGTGATATCCATGTGCAAAAGAATGAAGTTGGTTCCTTACCTTACATCATAAAAATTAGCTCAGTGAATCAAAGACCTACATGTAAGAACTAAGACTATAAAACTCTTAGAAAAACACACTGGGGAAATGCTTTATGACATTGAATTTGGCAATGTTTTCTATGATATAACACCAAAAGCATAGGCAATGAAAGAGAATAGATAAAATAGGCCACATCAAAATTAAAAACTTTTGTGCATCAAAAGTTACAATCAACAAAGTGAAAAGGCAACTCACAGAATGGGAGAAAACATTTGCAAGCCATGTATCAGATAGGGGGTCTACAACTGAACAAGAAAACAGCCTGATTAAAAAATGGGCAAAAGACTTGAATAGACATTTCAGCAAAGAAGATATACAAATGGCCAATAAGTACATGAAAAGATATTCAACATCAGTAATCATTAGAAAAATGCAAATGAAAACCACAATGAGATACCACTTCACACCAGTAAGAATGGCTACTATCAAAACCAAAATAAAACAGAAGAAAGTAACAAGTCTTGGCAAGGATGTGGAGAAATTGGAACCCTTGTGCACTGTTAGTGGAAATGTAAAATGGTGCAACCCCTAAGGAAAACAGTATGGCAGTTCATCAGAAAATTAAACAGAATTACAGATCCTGCAATTTGACTTCTTGGTATATACCCAAAAGAATTGAAAGCAAGGTCTCAAAGAGATATTTGCACACTCATGTTCATTAGCAGCATTATTCACAATAGCCAAAGGCGGAAGCAACCTAAGTGTCCATTGATGGGTGAAGAGATTAACAAAATGTGGTATATATATATATATAGACAACGGAATATTCTTCAATCTTAGAAACGAAATTCTAATGCGTGCTACAACGTGGATGAACCTTAAGGACATTATACTATGTGAAATCAGCCAGACAAAATAGGACAAACATATGATTCCACTTAGATGAGGTACCTAGAGAAGTCAAGTCCAGACAGACAGAAAGTAGAATAGTGCTTGCCAGGAGCTGGGGGAAGGGGAGAATAGAGATTTATTGTTTAATGGGTATGGAGTTTCAGTTTGGGAAAATGAAAAGGTTATGGAGTTGGTGTGAATGTCCCTTACACCAATAAACTGTATACTTAAAAATGGTTAAGAAGGTAAATTTTATGTTATGTATATTTTACCACAATTGAAAAAACAAAACAAAACAAAACCTTTGACTAATATTGCAGAAGTTAAGCTCTTAAATTCTATTTCATTGATTCACTAAATGAGTATCTAAATGTAACTGGCTGGGAGTACAACTGCTGGCCAAGCAGACAGTGCCTACCTTCCTAGAGCTGTCTGTCATTAGTAAACACAAGTAGCCTCAGACTTCTGTGACTGCTCCCTGTACTGCTTTACCTTACCTGAAACCTTGCTGTCCCTTGAGAACACTGCTTTCCTTGTGGCTCTCAAACACCCCACATACCTTAGCGTCACAAGAAAGAGTCAGTGCCTAAATTGCTGCACCTTTGCGGCTTCCAGACCATTCTTTCCTCTTGTTAAAAATCTTTCTTCCTTTGATGCCCAGTGCCACCTGGGCTTTATCATCCTTACCCCTTCCACAGTGAAGTCAACAATCAGCTCTCAGTACTTGGCTCACAATCTTCCTCTGTTCCCTAATACCTGCCATTCAGCGATTTCCATGTGAATGACCCATTTAACTGCCAATCTCCAAGTGTCCTGACCTTTTCCCTCTACCTCCACCACACATTCCCAGAATCAGAGGAAACTAATATCTCCAGAAACTTACTTCAAAACCATGAGTTCAAATGTCCCTCTTCTCTATGCTACCTCCTATGCTTCCAGGTCTTCTATCTCAGAGACCTCCAATCTGCTTCCTTCAATTCACTTCCCTCTTTTAGCCAATTTGAGTCCCTCCCTTGCCAGTCCCCACACTCCCTTGCCCCCCCGCAACACTCTGCCACACTCATCTATCAAAACCTCAGCTCTGCATGAACCCAGCCATTTACCTTGTGCCTGCATTCAGGCTGCTAGGCAGAAAAACACATAATTGGCATTGCTTGGTTTCACTTTAAATGAATCACAGAAACCTGAGATGGTCAGTTGCACTGCCTGACAACCCTGTTGAGTTTCTCTAACACATTTGCTCTTCTTTCCCCCCGCCCCCCACCCCGCAATGACTATTACATTCCATTCTTTTCTCCTCAAACCTTTCATTTTTAGCTGATGACCTTGTTGACCTTGTGGAGAGTAAAAGACCAAATCTACAGACCTACCTGATTCTGTATCCATTGTTTTCCCTCCTATAAAATGAAGTGACTCTTCTATAAGAGGCCTTTACCTTCATATGTGCTCTGGATCCCATCCCCTCTCACCTTTTTAAGGACTTTACACCTTTGATCTTCCCCTCTTTCTGTAGTTTCATTAGTTTACTTTCTACTGCACATCATATGAGCTATTATCTTCTATCTTAAAAAAAAAAAAATCCTTTCCTGGAACACACATCCTTCTCCAGCTAATACCCTATTTCTTTCCTCATCTTCATAGTCAGACTTCTCAAAGTTGTCTATATGTGCTGTCTCCATATCTTCACTTCCTACCCCACCTGAATCCCCACTCCATTGAAATAGTTCTAATCACGACCACCTACAACCTCTAGATGGCCAAATCTAATCTTATTCAAACTCGCAACACATGATACAGTTGACCACTACACTCCTTTCTTGAAACACTCTCTTTCTTGGCTTCTATAATACAACTGCTTCTTGGTCTCATTTGTTAGTTCCTCCTCCTCAACTCCATTTCTAAATATTGGAATTCTTCAAAGGCAGTCCTGGGGTTCTCCGTATAGTCTCTCTCTCTGTGATTTCATCATTCCATGGCTTTGAGTACCATCTCTGTGCTGATGATCCCTAAATTGTATTTCTAGGTTAGAACTCTCTTCTAAACTCCAGATTATTATATCTGTCTATTGATATCTCTGTAGGATGTCTCAAACTTATATCTATAATTTGATCCCTGCCCCAGCCCAAACCTTTTTCTCTTTCTTCCTAGTCTTGGTAAATGGCACCATGATCCACTCAGTTGCTCAAGGCAGAAACCTGAGAGTTTCCTTAATTCTTCCCTCTCCCCACTGCCCAACTCCTAAATCTAGTTCATAAATGTAACTATTGGTTTTTGCATCCAAGAAAAATGTCCCTGAGTAGGGATTATTTTCCTGCTATGTTTAAAGTAAAATTTAAGGAGCTCTTAACATTGTTTTGCTAAGACTTGAAAAAGAATATACCTAACTGCAACTTATTATGAAAACAAAAAGTAACTAAAGGAATAAAAACTTCATATAGTTTTATTTCTCTCAACAAAAGCTTTCTTATATGCTTCAAGAAAATAGTTATCAAGTGAAAATAGCCATATTCAGTCACAGGAGTCCTTAATATTATAATACCACAGTTTCTAAGTTCAAAGAGACACATTTTTGTCTTCTTACTGAAATCTAGTTGTATCTTAACAATTTTGATGGTGATAGCATGTCACAGTAAAATTGGCAGCATTTTTTCTTCATGGTATGTAAAATAATGTCCTATATTTTATCAAGTATATTTTAAAATATAGAATAAGAAGGTAAAGATAAAGCAAGTTAAAAACAAAAATACATATCCTTCTTATTTAATATTGGTTGAGAACAAGCGATTTTCTCTTTTGGTAGGTAAAACTAATTCAGGATGATAATTAACCTTTTCTGGGGGTTATGAAACTCTAAAACATACTTCAAAAAACTTATGATTGGGGGAAAGTGGCAGGGGTGGTGGTGGTGGGATGAACTGGGAGATTGGGATTGACATGTACACACTAGTATAGAATGGGTAACTAATAAGAACCTGCTGTATAAAAAAATAAAATTAAATAAAAAAACCTTATGATTCCTCTCCCTAAGCAAAAAGGTAGAAAGCACATGCATATACAAATTTACATATAATTTAGGGATTCACAAGCCCCTAGGACTCTCTCAGTATCCATGGATCCTAGATTAAGAATTCTTGATTTAGATAATTATAGAACAAAGTTCTAATGTTCTAACGGATCTCTGTGAAAAGTTATTACAATATAAATTGAATCTGAAGCAAATTTAAACACTAAACATATACATACAGGAAAGTCAGTGTTAATACATCCTTTCACTCCCAGGGTTGGAACTGAAATAAAGTAAAAATCTCACTAAAATAGAGTCGGGAGGCCAGAAGGGGGAGCTCTCATGCATGTACCTCTCAACATCAATACAGATCTCAACGGGAAGAGACATACCCTGCATCTCCAGCAGGAGGTAACTATTGGTTTTTGCATAACTATTGGTTTTTGCACACTACTTTACTACCACCAGCAGGAGGAAGAAAGATTTTCTCCTTGCCCGGCAATGCGCCACTAAAGAGAGACTGTCACAACGCAGCCAATGAAAAGCCACTATACTTGGAACTCCCAGTTTCCTCCAATGGACTTTCTGTTATAACAACCCTCCCAACTCCACTTCTCCTCTACAGAAGAGTTTCTTCTTTGCTTTACCAGACTTGCATGTGATTTACCATAGTTGCAATGTCCTGAATTGCAATTCTTTCCTGTTCCTGAATAAAACTGTTTTGCTGATAAAATAACTGGCTGTTTTATTGTTTTAGGTTAGCAGAACCAAAGTTTGGTTTGAAGGATGGTAAATCTCATCGAAATTAATGTCTCATATAATTCAAAAAGAACTTTGTGAGGATAATTCTCTTTACTCTTACCTTTAAGAGCCCCTTTATGTTTTTATTAGCAAAACCATGATAAGCTCCTTTGATTTCAAATAATTAAATGCTATAGTCACAGTATTATAACTAGCAATTGAGAGAAGGTGGTGATGCAAGATGATCACATTTTCTTTGGCTATGGGTCTAACTCCATTCTGGGGGATTGCTTGACAATTAAATGTTGCATGCTATTTTAAAAGGAAGATAAATTTTAAATCATTTCATGTGTCATACTTTTTTTTCAGAATTCTCTAAGCAATGCAAAAGTTCAAGCATAGAAACAATCATGCACAATTAGGAACTTGATACCAGATAATGATACTACCTGTAAATAATTACTAAATTCAAACAGGACTTACGTGGTAGAAATTTATTATTCTTTAAAATATTGTTTAAAATATATGTAACATCTTAATTTACCAGATTAAGAATATTCAAGTTTAAATATAATTATTTGTAGTGATCACTAATAACTTAATAGATTACCATATTTCAATGTTAGAGATGTTTCAAATAATAAGGCTGCAATAAGTACATCTTCTTTAAGCACTTTATTCCTTAGGTTCAGTCGAGCATGGGCTTCAGATAGGGAAACTCTAAAAAAGAAAACTGATGCCAATCAAAATATGTTGATATTATAAAGATAATATATATTTTGGCAGGAACAAACCAAGATATGTGTAAGCATAAGCCACACCTTAAATATCAGCATATTCTTATTTTAAAAAAATTTTAGTTTCTTTTCAAAGCATTTTTTCCTACCAAGTTGAACAGACTGTTGCAGAACAAGGAAGTATCCTGACTTATTATCAAAAAATTGGTTTCTATCCTGGCTTTTCTTTATTATTCTACACCCCACCCTCCCCAAGTTCTGTTCAGTTAAATACACAGTTGGAAAAATTAACCTAACTAAATATCTCTTACAGACACATCCTTCGTGTTTTCTCCTAGTTCTTAATCCATTTGAAGTCCTCATAGAATCTTGAAATTTCAGTGTTGGAAGAGATTTTAGAGAGCAAATTTCAAATCCCATCATGTAACTGAATTTTCTGTACAACATCCCAGGCTACTTATTATTCGGTCCCTTTTGAACTTCACCTAGGATTCACTAGGAATCATGAGGCAATCCATTCCTTTATTTTTTATTTTTAAGCTAGCTTTAATGTACTTGAATGATTGCTGGATGTGGGAATCAGAAAACCTGGGTTATGTCTCTAGAATTTACTAGCTGTGTGAGTTTGTATGAATCATTTAACTTCTGAGATTTTTTGAAGCTCTGCTATAAAATGGGGATAATAATAATTAATAGGGTTATTGTGATTTCAAATAAGGTATTTGAAAATTTTGGGACTCACCCACAAAGATTATATAAATGTAAGCTGAAATTGGTTTCACTGCAATGTATACCAACTGGTCTCTGTTTTGTCTTCTGGGATTACAAAACAAGTCTAATATCTCTTAAATGTGACAGCTCTTCAAATATTCAAAGACAGCTTTTCTAGTTGCTCCATGCTTTATTTTCTCCAAAATAAATATTCCTAGTTCTTTTTTTTTTTTGGTGCGGGGGCTGCACCACGCAGCATATGGGATCTTGGTTCCCCCAACCAGGGATGGAACCCGTGCCCCCTGCTTTGGAAGCGCGGAGTCATAACCACTGGACCACCAGGAAAGTTCCTCCTAGTTCTTTTAATATGTCATGTGACGTAATTTTCAAGCCCCTTGTCATCTTGGCTATTCTCCTTGTGACCAGATTTGGTTAATATTCCTTTTCAGTACAGTGCTACAGGTGTGATTTGATCAGCAGGGTACAGGTGGGGCAGAATTAGCATCTTCTCACTCTTGATACTATGTTCTATTACTACAACCCCAAATCACAGTATTATTTACAGCCATATTACCTTGCTTACTCATATTATATGTAAAAATAATGAAATCTCAAATCTTCTTCATATTAAGCCAGATCACCCCTTTCCAATGTATTCACACTTATACCAGGGAGGTTGGGACCTAATTAAAGACATTACAGGGACTTCCCTGGTGGTCCAGTGGTTAAGACTCCACGCTCCCAATGCAGGGGGTCCGGGTTCAATTCCTGGTCGGGGAACTAAGGTCCCACATACCACAACTAAGCCTGCATGCCTCAACTACTGAGCCCGCATGCTCTAGAGCCTGTGAGCTGCAACTAGAAAAGCCCGCATGCTGCAACAAACACACAGCAAGGCCAAAAGTAAAAAAAAAAAAAAAAAAAGACATTACATTTGTCCTATTAATTTTCTTCTTGCTAGACTAAAATCATAATTTGAGCCTGTGAAGATCTCTCCAGGGTTGTTTATTTACAAATTTGATTATCATGTTCCTGATGTCCTCACCCAAGCTTCTTCTAAAATTGTTGACCAGGACAGAATATGAATACAGCCTTTCAAGGAAAGAAAAGAGCACTGTTCAGCTCCACTCCTCTAGAAAAGCAAGGCTGGTGTTATTAGGTACCTGTCTATAGAAGGAGGAGAAAAAGGTTTATGACTCTTCTGAGTAGTGCTTCATTTACTTTGCTATTTCATAAAACCCATCTGCATCTCTAATGTTTATTTCTAAAATAGGAAAAAGTAGAGTTGTCATATCAAAATTAACTCTGCTTTATTCTTGGATCAGTACAGTCAAATGTAAACTGAGGCGATGTGAGTTTAAGTAAAAAATATCTTTTTACTACAGAGAAAAAGCATTGAGAAAATAGGACTTTCAAACCTTTTAAGCTTTGAGTATTGAATATTTGAAATATTACTTCAGAAAATTGAAAGCATTATACAATTCTGTTTACCATTTTAAAACATCACAATTAATTTCTTCCTTGCCCTATCTTTAGCAATTTTTTAGCTCTATGAAGATAAATATACAGTTGGAGAAATTAACTGAACATATTTATCTCTTATAGTCCTATACTTGTCATAACCTATCAGTCCTTCACTTGTCTTATTTTGTATTGCAGTCATAAAAAGATATTTATTTATTTAATGGATTATTTTACCCCTGGTCCTACTTCATAATTTGGTTGAGATTATATGTTAATCTATATTAAATAAAGTAATGGTCTATCAACAGGGGACTGTTTAAATTATGGTACAGCCATATGACAACATAGTAAAACTGTAATGCAGCTATTAAAACAGAATGAGGTAATTCTTTATGTGCTGATAGTATGACATCATGATATGTATACCTGCATGATTCCATTTGGGCAAAAAGAGAATATCTATCCATATAGGTATATACCGATTTATATATTATAAAAATATTTTTATATATTTAAATAACATATTCATCTAAAGTATATAACATAGTCAAATAAAATATGTATTTGATATACATCACATATTTAAATTACATATTTGTATACACTAGTATTTGAATGAATAATATCTGGAAGGATACACAAAAACTCTTGCCAGTGATTATCTCTAGGGAGTGGAATAGTAATAGGTAGGGTTAGCAGGGCACTTTACTCATTATTTTAGACTTTTCTTTCAGTACGTCTGTACTTTACTTTTACAATAAAAATTAGTTTAAAAAAAAACTTTCAAGGAACAATAATACATGAGTGTACTAAAGTATTTAAAAGTACAAGGAACAGGGGACCTCCCTGGTGGCAAAGTGGTTAAGACTCCGAGCTCTCTATGCAGGGGACCCCGGTTTGATCCCTGGTGAGGGAACTAGGTCCCATATGCATGCCACAACTAAGGAGCCCATGAGCTTCAACTAAGGAGCCCGCCTGCCACAGCTAAAACCTGGTGCAACCAAATAAATAAATAATTAAAATAAATTAAAAATTTTAAAAAGTGTTACAGATGTTAACACTTAAAAAATAATAAGAGTACAAGGAACAATATACTTAATTTTTTTTCTAGGTTCAACTACAAAATATCTAGAATGTAAACAGCCCCATTTTAAAAAACAGTCATTTTCATTTGAATTCAGTGCATTTTTCTCAGACATATCTGATACAGGGTATCCAATAAAAATTAATTTAGTGAAAACAAACTGCTGGAGGTTCAAATGATGCAATACTACAACAGAAGGAATTATTGTCACCTTAAATTCTTTTGGAACAAGATATATTATAAACCAACCAACCAGCAATCAAACAAACAAACAGAAAAAACAAGTGAGACAGTTAATAAAACACATCATTTGAAGGTCAGTAATGGTTTTAAAATTGAATACCTACAAATATTTTAATGCAGATGCTGACAGCTTTGATCCACATATAGAATCTGTTCTGATTCTGCGACTTGCTAGGTAATAGCCATGAATCATTCTTTCTGCCTCCAAGCTGAATTCGACATTCAAATTCTTTGCAAAAGCAAGCAGCTAAATTGAAAGTGTGAAAATTTAAGAGATTCAAACTTTATTATAGAACCTATATTACAAAAATCCAAAGTATACTGTCATTTATTTTTAAGTTTGCATGTTTTATTTACAACAAAATTGATTAAATATCTGGGGCCATCCCAAAGTCAATGAGCACTTTAAATCATAGTCTTATAAAGAATATCACAGTTTACCCAGAATAATCTCTTCCTCCCTTTTAGTACAGAAATATTCTGTGCAATGTACTTGAATGACGATCAGATCTTTGCTTCCAGTGGAACAAAGGCTCACTTACAGCCTTTTAGTGGGAGAGAGCTTCCCTCAGAATCTCATTTCCCTTTGAATAGCCTAATTCTCTGACAGTTTACTTCCATCAGACTATCTCTCATTGGCCCTAGAGCTGCATGCCCTCCTTCCTTCCCTTCCTTTTAAAGAACACAACCAAACATTAGAAATGTACTGTGTTAACTACTATAAAGGTAGGTCTTAGAGATTCAGTAAGATTTTGGGTAGAGAATAAGTCTTCAACTTAATGATTATCACTGTTTTCTCTGAGGTTTGTGCTTTTTTCTTTCTGAGTGATTCCTAGTTCCTTAAGTCCTTATTCTATGACATCATTTCCAGACTTTTCAGCATCTGTGTTGTTTTCTGGTTTGTCAAGTCATAGAACCAAAAGGAAAAATCACCCATAATAAAATGTTGCTATTAACTATTATATCTATATTTTATAAATTTTTATTTAGTTTTGGCTGCGTTGGGTCTTCGTTGCTGCGCGCGGGCTTTCTCTAGTTGCAGCGAGCAGGGGCTACTCTTCGTTGCGGTGGGCGGGCTTCTCATTGCGGTGGCTTCTCTTGTTGCGGAGCACTGGCTCTAGGCGTGTGGACTTCAGTAGTTGTGGTACACGGGCTCAGTAGTTGTGGCTCATGGGCTCTAGAGCACAGGCTCGGTAGTTGTGGTGCACGGGCTTAGCTGCTCCGTGGCATGTGGGATCTCCCCAGACCAGGGCTCAAACCCATGTCCCCTGCATTGGCAGGCGGATTCTTAAGCACTGCACCACCAGGTAAGTCCCAATATCTATATTTTAAATATAACCTTTTAAAAAGATCTGGATATGTCCTGGGTTGGATATGTCCTGTCTTTATTCTCCTTATACTCCACAATTCCCTGCAGGCCTTCAGAACTGGATAATAATAAAACTATTAATAACATTGGTAGCTCTCTCTAGATTTTATGCTATGGGGGCACAGTGATATGCCATCTATATCCCCTTTCAGTAAAGGACCCGTTGTCCCTGCTACTGAGAGTGCAGCACTGGGAGTTAGCATTAGCCTCCAGTTGTCAACTTCTGCAAGAACTACCTACCTTGATGACTTCATAATACAATTTTTGCTCCAGTCGGGCAGGTTTTCTCACAGTTTTCCATTTATACTCATCTCTACTTTATGTCTTTGCTCCTATTTTTATTTTTTGAATGCCCATCCTTCCTGTCATCTAAATCTTACCTTTTCTTAAGGCCCAACTAAAATCTCACCGCCTCCTGAAGTCTTCCTAACTCTTGCATTCTACTTGATATCTTTCTTTCTGAATTCATGAAATACTTATAGTCAGCACCACCCAGCTTAGCACTTAAGTTGTCCCTAATTGTTTCATATCTCAATTAAATAATAAACTATTTAAGGAAGAAAAATGTACATTTCTTAGAGAATATAAAAGAACAGAAGGAGGCTCAAATATATAAAGTATTCAGTAAATGCCTGACTAATAAATCCATAGATTTTTTTTGTTTATCTTTCAGGGAAAAACTGGGCAAAAATTTCTCCAGGTCATTAGCGTGTCTATATTATTTAGTATCCCAATTCCTAGAGACTACTTTTTTTAATATACTAAAACAAACAAAAAGACCTTATCATAAATATTATTCTTTTTCTGTTCTAATTTATGTGAATAAATTATGCTTATATTTCATTTTTAAATCCACCTCACCTTTCAACCTTTTATCCATGCAATTTGGGCTACAAGGAAGGCAGGTATGAACAAAAAATTTAATGACCCATGGATTCCCACTTCCCAATATTCCATGCCTTTTAGCTATCCTACACAGATACTTTAACTCTGCTGTGGACAGATTTCTGAATAGTTAATATTAAAAGGGCTTCACTTGTAAATACCTGACTACCTTTAATAGCTATGAGAAGCATTACTAAATTTGCATCATCTACTCTCAGGTTCTCTGAACATACCACACGTGTTTTCAGGTCAGGACATTAAAATAAATGGGTTTGTGAGTCATGAGAGATATCCCCTATAGTCAGAACTCTGCAGGCATTCATATAAAGTTTCCCTTTGAACAGTCTGTAAAATGTAGAAAGCTGTATACTTATAAAGCCTCTCAACATAATGTTTTATAGAAATATTCTATTTTGAATCTTTTCATGGAAATGCTTTAAGCTATGGTGATTTGCTCAGTGGTTCAAAGAATAAACTCAATGTTTTAATATCTATGTCCTTATAGTTTTTTAAAAATATTTATTTATTTATTTATTTTGGTTGCACTGGGTCTTAGTTGCAGCATGCATGTGGGATCTAATTCCCCGACCAGGGGTCGAACCCGGGCCCCCTGCACTGGGAGCATGGAGTCTTACCCACTGGATGGCCAGTGAAGTCCCTATGTCCTTACAGTTTCTAGTTTAATTATAAACCTAAATTTTTTCTATACAATGTCCTTAAAATGCTTAAAAGCTAGAAGCAAATTAGAATAAAAGAATTCTAAATAAGGAAAACTAAATGTTCAAAGGGAGTTTTATTTACATTGAGAAACATTAGCACATACTTTTACCTTTTCAAAATCTTCAGTTGTGAACTGTTTAGAAGCTACATAAAGCAGCCCTTCAGGATCAATGGCTTTCTTTAAAGTATGTTGCACAGTAGGAAGAAGTGGGTGGCAAGGAGATGACTCATTGCAGTTAATCAATAATCCAAATGCCTCTATGAGATTAGCTGGAATCAAACTGCAATCCTACATCAAACAAAAATGTAAAAGGCAAATATTAAACACTGGCATTTTCATAAACACTTCAAATTAACTATTATTTAGAATTATTATTTAAATTATTATAATTATATTATTATAATATTAATTAAATTATGAAACTATAATTGTAATAATTATTTTATTATTTGTTATTATTAATTATTATTTAAAGTGATTCCCAAATAGCATGGGAACTTTGTGATAATAAATTTTTCTAAAATGCTTTTTACTGAGTATCTTCTTACACATTATTCATTAAAGCCTCTCCCACTACCTATTCAAATAATAATTTATAGTGAGCAGACACCTGCTTTGCATGACTAAAAACTGAAAATTTTCAAACAACTGTGTCATTATTTAGTTCTAGTACCCAATTAGGTATAGAAATTAAGCACAGAAATAATAATAAAACATTAAGAACAATAAAAACATTAAGATTAAAATCTGTGACTAAATTCCCTGAACAACACTCTAACAATAAGATACACTTATACTTTACCATCTGACCAATTAGAGTATTGGTTTTCTGTACATTTCTTCTTGAAGATGAATCCATATCAACAAAAGACCAAAAACTGCACTGAACTGGAAAAGTCATTTGCTGATCCATATCATCCCCAAACTTCTTTCCTGATATGTATACTGTGATGCTTCTACTTTCCACAGCTAAGTCAAAAGACATTATCCATTTGTTATTTAAGTTCACTTTGGTCTATATGTCTATAAATTAATAAATATTATTATACAGAATTTTACAGTCTAAATTTGGATAGTAAAAACACAAGTAAATTTGATTGTTTTGCAAGATATGGCTAACTTAGAGGATCTGCCATAAAAAAGAAGAAGGAAAGAAAAACATTTGAATGTTTATGTGTCCCCTGACGATGAGTATCATCAGTCCAAAGCATGTAGCTAGAATCGTGAATTGGGAGGAATAGGCAGAGAGTAAGGAGAATGGTCATATAGTGCAGGTAGTGCAGGCTTACAAGGGAGGCTGAAATTAAACAATGTTCTGGGGGTTTTTTTGTTTCGTTTTGTTGTTTTTGGCTGTGTCATGCGGCATGTGGGACCTTAGTTCCCTGCCCAGGGATCGAACCCACGCCCCCTGCATTGGGAGCGTGGAGTCTTAACTACTGGACTGCCAGGGAAGTCCCCAACAATGTTCTTTTATGTGCCAAAAAAAATAATAGAAAGTGGGCCATCTAAGTAGGAGTGACTAGGAGAAAATACATCTCAAATTCAACATGTGAGAAACCAAATTCATCATTTCTCCTCCTCAAATGGCTCTTGTGCATTACTCACAATTAGGAGAATCACCACTGATCCACTTAAAACCCAAACAAAAAATGTGGAAACATCCCATTCTCCTTTCTATCCTCCCCTTATCCCTTATAAGCATTCAATCTATGGATTCATTTCTATTCCTAGGATGCTATCTCCCAAATATTTCTCAAATTAGTCTTCTCTCCGTTCACGATAAGAGTTTTTTGTATACATGTTTATTTTTCTTTTGGATCATAAGGTAAATATATATTTAACTATATAGAAACTGTCAGAGCAGTTTGCAAAATGGTTGTACTATTCTATACTCTCATCAACAATATATGAGAACTCCAACTTCTCTACATCCTTGGTAACATCCGTTGTTGTCGGTCTTTTTAATTTTTGTCATTCTAGTAGCCAGGGCCAGCCACATAATTTGTAGGGTCCAATGTAAAATGAAAATATGGGCCTCTTATTCAAAAAGCAGGGGAAAATGCTTTTTTTTATATAAAGCTTTTTCTTTTAAGAATATTTTATCACTTATAAAATGTCATAGGGGTGATGTGGAGAGATCAGAACCCTTGTGCATTACTGGTGGGAATGTAAAATGGTGTGGCCACTGTGGAAAGCAGTTTGATGGATCCTCATAAAGTTAAACATAGAATTACCACATGATCCAGCAATTCCACTTATAGGTGTATATGCAAAAGAGTTGAAAGCAGGCACTTAAACAGATACTTTTACACCAATGTTCATAGCAGCATTATAATAGCCAAAAGGTAGAAACAACCCAAGGGTCCATTAACAGATGAATTTTTAAGTGATTATATATATATATATAAAATCCCTTATATATATTGGAATATTATTCAGCCATAAAAAGGAATGAGATTCTGTGAAGAGGCAAATTCATAGAGACAGAAAGTCAAATAGAGGTTTCCAGGGGCTAGAGATAGGGGGGAATAGAGAGTTATTGTTTAATGAGTACAGACTTTCTGTTGGGGATTATGAAAAAGTTCTAGAAATGGATAGTGGTGATGATTGTGTAACATTGTGAATGTACTTAATGCCACTGAACTGTACATTGGAAAATGGTTAAAATGGTCAATTTTACATTGTGTATTTTATCAATATTTTTTAAAAAAGGAATGAAGTGATACATGCTACAACATGGATGAACCTCAAAAACATTATGCTAAGTGAAAGAAGCCAGTAATAAAAGACCACAAATTGTATGATTCCATTTATATGAAATGTCCAGAATAGGCAAATCCATAGAGACAGAAAGCAGATTAGGTTTCCGGGAACTCTGGGGAGAGGGGGCATGGGGGGTGACTGCTAATGAGTACAGGGTTTCCTTTGGGGTAATGAAAATGTTCTGAAAGTATAACAGATAGTGGTGATGGTTGTACAACTCTGTGAATATTCAAAAAGCCACTGAACTGTACATTTTAGGTGGGTGAATTTTATGGTGTGCAAATTATACTTCAATAAAGCTATTACCAGAAAATGTAATAGAAGTAGCTGTCAGTCTAATACTAAAATTTTAAATTATTGACATGAATTTTACCATTTATATTGTACAATTCCAGTCTTAAATACAAATATTTGAGCATTTAACTCATATGCAGCATCATTAGTATTTTGTAGGAAGTATTAATACACAGTTATGTATTTTTGTTCTTATCAGAACAGGGGAAATATTTTTATTTTGCACAAAACTGTTTTTAATTTGTTTCTTGATATTCACACATTTCACCAGCACTCTCTACTGATGAGTAAGGAAGGACTAAAAGGAAAAGGAACAACGGGTTGCCCTATCTTTCCCTTCCCTCCTATATTATCATTTTCAGTGTAAGAGGTTGGCAAATACAGGGAAGTAGCCAAGTAAGAAAGGATATGATGGGGTTCCTCGGTCATTTGTGTTTCTTAGAATGCAACTGCCTATTACAGAAGCAAGTCTGATTCAAATGGAAAGCTTGGCCTCCTTGGGGCTATCAGCTCCCCATCTCACTCAGCGGAAGATGTTTTGAAATGGAACATGGGCACTGAATTGCAGTGTAGTCACAATGCATGAGAGTCCAGCAAGAATCAAACTGATTACAAATTGTGTTAACAAGCCTCATAGTGATCGCAAATGCTATTTGAAATAGGGCAGCAAGGCATGGTGGACACAGGCATGGATGTATCCCCTCTGCTCACGTTGAAGCTCCACTGTCTTCCTTACAAAACAGCTTCAAAGATAAAATCATTAAAATTTTCTTTTTATAAAAATTAATTTTATTTATTTATTTATTTTCGACTGTGTTGGGTCTTCATTGCTGTGCGCAGGCTTTCTCTAGGTGCTGCTAGTGGGGGCTACTCTTCGTTGGGGTGCACGGGCTTCTCATTGTGGTGGCTTCTCTTGTTGCGGAGCACGGGCTCTAGGCGCGCGGGCTTCAGCAGTTGTGGCTCATGGGCTCTAGAGCGCAGGCTCAGTAGTTGTGACACACGGGCTTAGTTGCTACGTGGCATGTGGGATCTTCTTGGACCAGGGCTCGAACCCGTGTCCCCTGCATTGGCAGGCGGATTCTTAACCATTGAGCCACCAGGGAAGCCCTAAAATCATTTAAAATTTGAAGATGGTGACAGTAGAGTTTTAACCAAGTGCCAGGCTCTTCTAGGGGGAGCTATACTTATTCCCCACCCATGAAGCAGCACCTGCTAGTGTGTGTAAGTAGTGGTATCTCATTGTGGTTTATTTTTCATTTCCCCAATATCCAACTAATGATATTAAGCACTATTTCATGCACTTATTTGTCATTTTGTATACATTCCTTTGTGAAGTCACTAAGTCTTTAGACCATTTTTTTGCTGGGTCCTTTGTGTGTATGTGTTTTTAAGTTGCAGAATGTTTGACTTACAATGTTGTGTTAATTTCTGCTGTACAGAAATATATACATAAATATACATTCTTTTTTATATTCTTTTCCATTATGGTTTATCTCTATGTCTATGAGTCTGTTTCTGTTTTGTAGGTAAGTTCGTTTGTATCATACTTTAGATTCCACATATAAGTGATATCATATGATATTTGTCTTTCTCTGTCTGCCTTACTTCCCTTAGTATGACAATCTCTAGGTCCATCCCTGTTGCTGCAAATGGCATTATTTCATTCTTTTTTATGGCTGAGTAGTATTGACAAAGTACATCTTCTTTATCCATACATCCGTCAAGGGACATTTAGGCTGTTTCCATGTCTTGGCTATTGTGAACAGTGCTGCTATGAACATAGGGGTGCAAATATCTTTTTGAATTATAATTTTGTCTGGATATATGCCCAGGAGTGGGATTGCTGGATCATACGGCAACTCTATTTTTAGTTTTTTGAGGAACCTCCATACTGTTTTCCATAGTGGCTGCACCAACTTACATTCCCACCAACTCTGTAGAAGGGTTCTGTTTTTTCCACACCCTCTCCAGCATTTGTTATTTGTAGACTTTTTAATGATGGCCACTCTGACTGGTGTGAGGTGGTATCTCATTGTAGTTTTGATTTGCATTTCTCTAATAATTAGTGATGTTGAGCATCTTTCCATGTGCCTGTTGACCATCTGTATGTCTTCTTTGGAGAAATGTCTATTGAGGTCTTCAGCCCATTTTTTGATTGGACTGTTTTTTTTGTTGTTGTTGAGTTGTATGAGCTGTTTGTAGTATATTTTGGAGATTAAGCCTTGTCAGTCACATCCTTTGCAAATATTTTCTCCCATTCTGTAGGCTGTCTGGTTCTTTGTTTTTCAAATTACTGACTTGTTAGAATTGTTTCTATGTTCTAGGTGTATGTCCTATGTCAAATATATGTATTGCAATTATTTTCTTTTTCTTTGCTTGCCTATTCACTTTTTAAATGGCCTTTTTGATGTGTATAACTTTTTAGTTTTGATGAAGTCCAATTCATCAATTATTTTCTGTTTATTGCTTTCTGGGTTTTGTCTAAAAAATCTTTGCCTACCCTAAGGTCATGAAGATTTCCCATGTTTTCTTCTAATAGCTATATAATTTTAGTTTTTACATTTAGGTTTATGATCCATCTTTAATTAATTATTGTATACAGTTGTGAGGTATGAGCCAATATTAATTTTTTCCATATATATAGCCAGATGTTCCACTATCATTTGTTGAAAAAACTTTCCTTTGTCCATTTTCTTGCTTTGATGCTGTGGTCAAAAATCAAGTAAGCAGGGCTTCCCTGGTGGCGCAGTGGTTAAGAATCCGCCTGCCAATGCAGGAGACACGGCTTTGAGCCCTGGTCCGGGAAGATCCCACATGCCGCAGAGCAACTAAGCCCATGCGCCGCAACTGAGCCTGCGCTCTAGAGCCCACGAGCCACAACTACTGAGCCCACACACCTAGAACCTGTGCTCCGCAACGAGAGAAGCCACGACAATGAGAAGGCTTCGCACCGCAACAAAGAGTAGCCCCTGCTCGCCGCTACAAGAAAAAGCCCACGCACAGCAACAAAGACCCAACACAGCCAAAAATAAATAAATTAAATACATAAATTTAAAAAAAATCAAGTAAGCATACTAGTGTGGGTCTATTTCTGCATTCTCTTGTAGGAAGAGGCAATATGCTATGTGCCCTGAGTATTGCTGCACATTCTTGCCGGTATGCTAAGAGTGTAAGGCCCTAACTTCTCTTGGCCCGATACTTATCTGTCCATATCCTTGTTAGTTATAATCTGGCCCAAGCAGCATTATCCTAATACTAAAACCAGGCAAAAGATATTATAGGAAAACTACAGACCAATATCTCTTGTGAATATACAGGCAAAAATCCTCAACAAAATAACAGCAAATCAATTCCAACAATGTATAAAAAGAATTATACACCACAGCCAGGTAGGGTTTATGTTAGGTATGCAAAGCTGGTTCAACATTTGAAAATCAATTAATGTAATCCATAATATCAACAGGCATTCATTTATCAACAGGCATATCACATTTTTCAATATGTGATTGAAAAATCACATTATCATATCAATAGGTGTAGAAAAAGCACTTGATAAAATTCAGCACCAATGCATTATTAAAAAACTCTTAGTAGATTAAGAATAGAGCGAAATTTCTTCAACTTGCAAGAGAACTTCTACAAAAAACCTACAGCTAACATCATACTCAATGGTGAGAAACGTGAAACTTTCCTGTTAAGATCAGGAGCAAGACAAGATCAGGATGTTCCTTCTCACCACTGTTTTTCAACATCATATTGGAAGTCCTAGCTAATGCAATAAGACAAGAAAAGGAAATAAATCTGGCATAATACAAACTCATGTGTTAGCACAACTGAGAGCAAAGCCTAAAACAATGCATTTGCACATTAAATTCCTCTGTTTTTATTTATAAAGGTAAAATGAGATATGTCATTTAATATAATTTCTCTATTCCTAAAACGTGTATAATACAATCTTAATTGTTAAGTAACCCCTTGACACTGATAAGACTATAAGTTAAACAGGTGAAAATTAATTTGAAAAAATACTGTTTACCTGATTGAAGCTGTTCAAGTTTATCTTTTTTGTGTGAAGCCAAGTCTCCTATAAAGCAGATACCACCTTTAGCTAGCAAAGCACTGCCACCTTGAATGCTAACTGCTCCAGTTCCATACTTATTCCTGGATAGAGTAGGAAAAATTTCAGTAGAGACTGGATGACGTATACCACGGGGCACAAGGTTTATACTAAAATTCAAAAGCCTAAGGGAAAAAATAAATTATTCATTACTTATTCATTACAAATATTACTTATTTAATATTTGATTTTCAGAAGTCATAATGTATAATAGCTATACAATTAGATTTAATTTGATTCAATGTCTATTGAGCACTAGTGCTGTGGATAAAAATGTATATGTAGGACTTCCCTGGTGGTGCAGTGGTGAAGAATCCTCCTGCCAATGCAGGGGACACGGGTTCGAGCCCTGATCCGGGAGGATCCCACATGCCGTGCAGCAACTAAGCCTGTGTGCCACAACTACTGATCCTGTGCTCTAGAGCCTGTGAGCCACAACTACTGAGCCCGTATGCCACAACTACTGAAGCCCACACGCCTAGAGCCTGTGCTCCACAACAAGAGAAGCCACCGCAATGAGAAGCCCATGCACCGCAATGAAGAGTAGCCCTCGCTCACTGCAACGAAGAGTAGCCCTTGCTTGCTGCAACTAGAGAAAGCCCACACACAGCAACGAAGACCCAATGCAGCAAAAAATAATTAATTAATTTAAAAAAAAAAGAATTTGTCTTTGCTATGTATTGTCTCAGGTTATTAACAATATATATATATGAGATTTGGTCCTTAACTTGGAAAGCTCACAGCCTAGAGAGATGTAAACAAAAAACTAAAACACGATGTGATAAGTACTAAAATAATGTCATGAGGACATCCATAAAAGATCATTATTTCCTCCTGGATGGAAGTCAGAGAAAGCTACAGAGAAATGACATTTGAACGGGGACTTCCTTTTTTTATGAATTGCTTTCTTTCGTTTATTCAAAATTTTTGCATTTAGGCTTGCCAGTAGTTCATCATGACTACCCCTGTTACCTATGTATCAAGATAACTCTTGATACATCCTTTTGCTTTCTAATCTCTTTGCCAATTGCCTCAACCTCTTCATTTCTCAAATTTAAATTATAAGAAAGGAATATGATTATCTTAGCTTAGCTTTTAAATCCTTGCCACAGAAATCATAGCTTGCTGGTGCAATCTACTATGATGAGTAGAGACATGGTACAAAGAGGGTGAAGCAGTATCTCTTAAATGTGGATAGGTAGATGCTATAAAATGTCTAGTGTATGTGTCATTCCAAAGAATTTAGATGCTAATTTGAAGATATACAATATGGGTGAGTAAGATTTAGAAAGAAAATTTGCAAGCCTATAGAGCAGTGGTTCTCAACCCTAGCTCACATTAAAATTACCTGGGGAACCAACAGGCACATGAAAAGACAGTCAAATCACTACTCATCAGGGGAATGCAAATCAACACCATGATGAGATATCACATCACACCTGTCAGAATGGCTGTTATCAAAAACACAAAAAAAACAACAAAAAACAACCCAAGCGTTGGCAAGAATGTGGAGAAAAGGGACTACTTATACACTGTTGGTGGGAATGTAAATTGTTGCAGCCACTGTGGAAAACAGTAAAGAGGTTCCTCAAAAACTAAAAATAGAGTTACCATATGATCCAGCAATCCCACTCCTGGGTATTAATCCAAAGAAAACAAAAACACTAATTAGAAAAGATATATGCTCCCCTATGTTCATTGCAGCATTATTTACAATAGCCAAGATATGGAAACAAGCTAAGTGTCTATGAATAGATGAATTGATAAAGAAGATGTGGTATATATATAATGGAATATTATTCAGCAATAAAAAGTATGAAATCTTGACATTTGTGACAACATGGATGGGCCTAGAGAGTATTATGCTAAGTAAAGTAAGTCAGATAGAAAAAGATAATTGTTATATACGACTTCACTTATATGTGGAATCTAAAAAAAAAAAATGAACAAACAAAACAAGACAGAATAGATATAGAAAACAAACTTGTTGTTGCCAGAGGGGAGGGGGATTGGGAAAGTGAAATAAGTAAAAGGGATTAAGAGGTACAAACTTCTAGTTATAAAATAAATGTCACGAGGATGTAAGGTACAGCATAGAGAATATGGTCAATAATATTGTAATAACTTTGTATGGTGACAGATGGTAACTAGACTTATTGTGGTGACCATTTTGAAATGTATATAAATATTGAATCACTATGATGTACAAGAACATGATATTGCATGTCAATTATACTTTTTAACAAAAAAAAATTGCCTGGGGTTTTTTAAAAATTCTAATGCCAAGCCCCATCCCAAACGATGTAAATTAGAATCTCTAGGGGTGAGCCACAGTCATAATTTTTTTTTTAATAAATTTATTTATTTTTGGCTGTGTTGGGTCTTCGTTGCTGTGCACGGGCTTTCTCTAGTTGCGGTGAGTGGGGGCCACGCTTCGTTGTGGTGCGTGGGCTTCTCATTGTCGTGGCTTCTCTTGTTGCGAACCGCGGGCTCAGTAGTTGTGGCTCGCAGGCTCTAGAGCGCAGGCTCAGTAGTTGTGGCGCACAGGCTTTGTTGCTCCGTGGCATGTGGGATCTTCCCAGGCCAGGGCTCGAAGCCGTGTCCCCTGCATTGGCAGGTGGATTCTTAACCACTGCGCCACCAGGGAAGCCCCGTAAAGTTTTTTTTAATATTATCCCAGATGATTCTAACATGCAGTCAGGCTGAGAACCTAGTTATATAGAACAATGGGCCTCAAACTTGGCTAATCATTGGAATCAGCTGAGGAATTTTTTGAACTACTGATACAAGATCACAGAGTAAAAGATCCAAATACAAAAATCAATTGTATCTCTATATACTCACAGCAAATATTTGAAAAATAAAATTAATAAAACACTACCATTTTTCATAGCATCAAAAATACCAAATACTTAGAAATCAACTTAAATTATGTGCATGACCTTTACAAAACACTGCTGAAAGAAATTAAGATTTAAATAAATGGAGATATATACCATATTCACAGATTGGAAGACTCAACATTGTTAAGATGTAAATTCTTCCCAAATTGATTTATAAGTTAAATGCAGTTCCATCAAAATCCTTAAAGGCTCTTTTGGGGTGATGGGGATGGAGGCTGGTATTAACATATAGACTCTAAACTTTTTTTTTTTTTTTTTTTACGGTACGCGTTGTGGCCTCTCCCGTTGCGGAGCACAGACTCCGGACGCGCAGGCTCAGCGGCCATGGCTCATGGGTCCAGCCGCTCCGTGGCATGTGGGATCTTCCCAGACCGGGGCATGAACCTGTGTCCCCTGCACTGGCACACAGACTCTCAACCACTGCGCCACCAGGGAAGCGATTCTAAACTTTATAAGAAAATGTAAACGATCTAAAATAGTGCAAACAAATCTTAAAAATGAAGAATAAAGTTGCACTACCTGATTCAAAACTTAATATAGAGCTACAATAATCAAGAATGTGAGGCATAATTATAGACATAAAGGTCAAAATGACAGAAAAGAACGTTTAAATAGATATATACCCAGTTCAATTTTACACCTAAAATTGTTTATAACCAGTTTATAACCACTGTTTATAACCAGTTCAACTAATTTGCAACATTGGTAGCAAAGCAATTCAATGGGGAAAGGAAAGTCTTTTAAACAAATGGTATGGAAAAATTAGATAAATGCATAGGAAAAATATTAATCTTGGCTCCTACCTTGTATCACATACAAAAATTGACTTGTAATAGAAAACAGACCAATGTAAAAACAAATACTTCTAGAAGAAAACATAAAAGAATATTTTCATGACCTTGGGGTAGACAAAGATTTCTTAAACAGAACCCAGAAAACACTAAACATAAAAGAAAATAATAACCTAAACTAAAAGGACTGCTCATCAAAGATATCTTTAAGAAAATAACTCAAGCTTTAGACTGGGAGAAAAATTTCATGATACATATGTGACAATGGATGTGCATCTGGAAGAGCCCCATTTAAAAGTGAACAAAGGACCTGACACTTCAGAAAAGGAGACACATGAGTAACTAATAAGCACATGAAAAAGAGCTTGAATCAGCAGTCATCAAGGAAATGCAACTTAGAACTGTAGTGAGACACCATTTCACATATACTAGAATGGCTAAATTGAGAAAGACTGACCACACTGGATGTTGGTGAGGATAGAAACAACTGGAACCTTAACTCATTGTTAGGAATGTAAAATTGTAAAACCACTTTAAAAAACTGTTTGGCAGCTTCTTATAAAGTTATATAAACCTACCTTATGACACAATGATTCCACTCCTAGGTATTTACCCAAGATAATAAAAACCTAAGTCTACAAAAAGACTTATACAAGAGATGTTTATAGCAGCCTTACTTATATAGTCAAAACATGCAAAACCCAGGGCTTCCCTGGTGGCGCAGTGGTTAAGAATTCGCCTGCCAATGCAGGGGACATGGGTTCAAGCCCTGGTCCAGGAAGATCCCACATGCCTTGGAGCAACTAAGCCCGTGCGCCACAACTACTGAGCCTGGACTCTGGAGCCTGCGAGCCACAACTACTGAGCCCATGGGCACAACTACTAGAGCCCATGCTCTGCAACAAGAGAGGCCACTGCAATGAGAAGCCCACACACCGCAACTAAGAGTAGCCCCTGCTCGCTGCAACTACAGAGAGCCCACGTGCAGCAATGAAGACCTAAAACGCAGCCAAAAAACCCCCACAAATCCATTCATTGATTCATTCATCAAATAGCAATTGATCATCTTCTGTGTGCCATGCCCTGTCCTAGGACTTTGCTTTAATAATGAAAAAAAACAAAACAAAACATGCAAAACCCAAATGTCTATCACGAGGAGAAAAGATAAACAAATTCTGGTATATTCATATAATGGAACACTGCTCATCAATAAAAACAATGAACTTCTGATACACACAACAGGGCCAATCTCAAAAACATGTTAAGCGGGGCTTCCCTGGTGGCACAGTGGTTGAGAGTCCGCCTGCCGATGCAGGGGACGCCGGTTCGTGCCCTGGTCGGGGAAGATCCCACATGCCGCGGAGCGGCTGGGCCCGTGAGCCATGGCCGCTGAGCCTGCGCGTCCGGAGCCTGTGCTCCGCAACGGGAGAGGCCACAACAGTGAGAGGCCCGCGTATCACAAAACAAAAAACAAAAAACATGTTAAGCGAAAGAAGCTAGACCCAAAAGAGTGTGCACTGTATGATCCTAGTTATACGAAGTTCAAGAACAGGAAGATTAACCTATGGTGACAGAAATCACCCGTGGAGATAGAACTAATTGGAAGAGAGAATGAAGGACCTTTCCAAGGTAAAGGAAAATGGAAATGTTCCATATCTTATTGAGGTGATGGCTATAGGAGTGTATGTCATCTGTCAAGACTCATCGAATTGTATACCTAAGATCTGATTACTTCACTTTATTTATGTAAATTTTACCTAAAAAACAAAACAAAACACCAAATCTCTCATACAGCCCCAAATACCACAGGAAAAGATTAATGACAAACAGAAAAAGAGACAAAGGCTTTAATTTACAAGAGGTATCACAAATCAGTAAGAAATAAACAACTTAATTTAAAAAATGGACAATGGTCAAGGAGTTCATAGAAAAATAATAAAAAGTGTTTAACAAATTCTAAATGATGCTAAAACTTACTTCTAGTTAAAAAAATGCAAATTAAAATAAAATACCACTTTCCATCCATCAAATGGCAAAATTTTAAAGTTTGATAATACCCAGTGTTGGTGAGGCTGTTAGGAAACAAATATTCTCATGCTCATTAGTGTAAGATTAAATTGGTGCAATCTGTAGCAGTTAGCACTATATTTACATTGTGATTTAATTTTAGCAAAACATCATCTGTCCAATTAAGTTAGAGCTAATTTGAATTTTTTTTAATTTAAAATTCATTCTATAAATTTGTTTTTGCTTTATATTTGCATACATGATTTTAATATATGAAGCTTATTCCTAGCTTTTTGCACATTTAAGTAACTTTTTAAAAAGGGTACTTGCTAGTGGGGAGCCCCAATATGCTGAGTAGAGGCTTACTCCAAGGTTAGAGTGACACCCCCAAAACAGTAATTTTGGCACTTTTAACAGCCTTATTTGGGCACAGTGAATCAATACTATTGAATGGAATCTTGAAGAAAAAGAAGAAAACAGCTTGTTAGCTCTAGCGGGGAGATTATTTTGAAGTGAAAACAAAGTACAAAAGCAGAACACTGATCTAGGGAATGGAGGACAAGGAAGCCTGCAAAGGAGCCATTTATTTAAAAAGGTCTGAGTGGGGAAACAAGTTGAAACTTCGAGTGGTTAGATTCTCAAAATGTTGAAAGCAAATATCCCATTTCTCAATTCATGTTTTAAAAAGTTTTGAACTTCACTGATAAAAGTTTATTTAAATATTTATACTGCTCAGATAAATTCCAAATATTTGTCTTGTAATAATGCTCATGGAAAAGATGTATGCAAATCTGTGACCAATTCATAATGTCATATATTTTACCTGTCTACGAGTAGAATATCACTTGTTATAATTAAAAGATCCAGGCAATCTTCCAGTTCCTTGTTACGGTCACTTGTCTGTACTAGACTCATCAACAAACAGAGCTTGAGCAAATTGTAAGTCCCAGGAGGAACAATTTGTGATGCAAAGATATTGGCAAGTATTGCTGTAAACTTCCAGTACGAGCTGGAAGTCAAAGAGAGGAGACACCTGAAATTGTCGCTAATTCCTGAAGGAACTGAAAGTAAATATTACATATATGTTAAAAAGAGTTTTTTAAAACAAGAAAATGATATTATAGACATCTAATTCCATTTATCTAAAATATTATCAAATTGCAGTTCTTTTAATGATGCCACATTCAAATTATTACAATGATATTAAATTATGATCAGAGGTCACTCTGGTCTATCATTTCTATCCCAAGGAATGCAGTAAGAAGAAGCAGTCAACCTTTGTGCCCACATAGACTGGCTGTGGGTTGCAAGCAAATCTCTCATTTTTTTCCTTTTAAGACCTATGTGAGCAAAGCCAGATCATGGGGCTCTTGTACTGCAGTGTTTGCTTCTACATATCTATGTTTGAAATATTATCACCTTTAGTGAGGTCTAAAAAGCAGAATGGGAAATATTTGATTATTGCTGTTAAAAGGGGAGATTTATACTCTACTACTTCAACATATACTGTAACATTCTAGACCTTCTCCACTACCTTATTCTGTCCAACTCCTGAAAGAGATGAGTGTTTTAATCCAGTTGGTCAGTTTGGGAGAAACAGCTGCGCACATGTAACCCAGTCCCTTTCTCCTTCCTCTTAGGCTGTCATCACAGGGCAATGATTTCTTCTACTCATAGATGCCCATGGACCAAGGGAGGCCTACATTAGTGTAGCTCTTGCCACATTTGGGTGGTTAAATCTGCCTAATTCTGGAGTTCAGCAGGAGAAAGTACACTTCACCTACATATATATCATGTTCTGCCACCAAATCAGTAAATCTTAAAGCACTTCACAGCAGAAAATATTTTAAATATCTTTAAAATGCCTATTGTTCATTAGTAGTTTCTTTCTTCAATATTTTTATTCTTTTAAGAAGTTTTTCTCAGGAATTCCCTGGCTGTCCAGTGGTTAGGACTCTGTGCTTCCAATGCAGGGGGCATGGGCCCAATCCCTGGTCGGGGAACTAAGATCCCCACAAACCACATATCACAGCCAATAAATAAATAAATAAATAAAGCTTTCTCTTCAAAATAAGCAGAGATATCTAGAATCCATTGCATTTAAATTCAACTTGGGCCTCTGTTATTGCAGATGGTTATCTAGGGAATAGAAAAAAAAATCTAACTTCATTATTTAAGATTTAAATAGCCTGTCCTATATTTAGATATTTGTGTGCCAAGTTTAGAGCAGGTCTGCTCTCCGCTTTTGTTTACTTAATTCTTAATTAGGTTGCAAGGATATTATCAGTAATAAGGGTGATATTTTGGGGACCAACTGCCTTTCTCTTTTGTCTTATTTCTCGATTGGTTCAAAACTCAGCTGAGGAAAAGGATGCCATTTTATTTGGCTCTTTTTCTCAGACCACAACAGTTACTTAGTTAGAAAACAAAGGGTTGGATAGAAAAACCTTTAAACTAATCTCTAACTCTTAGCATCTTAAAACATTTTTCTTGTTGGTAATTATTAAAAAAAAAAAAAAATCTAGGGGCTTCCCTGGTGGCGCAGTGGTTGAGAGTCCGTCTGTCGATGCAGGGGACACAGGTTCGTGCCCTGGTCCGGGAAGATGCCACATGCCGTGGAGCGGCTGGGCCCGTGAGCCATGGCCGCTGAGCCTGCGCGTCTGGAGCCTGTGCTCCGCAACGGGAGAGGCCACAGCAGTGAGAGGCCTACGTACCACCAAAAAAAAAAAAAAAAAAAAATCTAAATAAGGTATAGCCAAAAGAAAGGAGTCCTTCCTGTGGGCAAGGTTTCACATTATCTTGCTTTATTTCCTTTAGAGCATTTATTATCTAAAATTGTCTTATTAATTAGTTTACACATTTATTGACTGTCTACCATATGATTTAAGAGTAGGAACCCTGACTGTCCTCATCACAACTGTATCCCTAGTGCTTTGAAGAGTGTCCAGCACGTAGGCAACCAATACTTATTTCCTGAACAAATGGATTTAAATTTAAATATTTGTTAATATATGATACTAACATTTTTCTTACCTTTTGGATTGAAAAAAGTGATACTATTTGCCTCTATACAGAGAGCAGTTTGTGATGTTTTTACACAGGTTGGAATTCCAATAATCTTATACTCATTTCCTATATTCATTTCATTCACTAATTCATCTAAAATTGTTAAACACAAAAGAAAATAACTATTTACTAAATGAAACTTTTACATGATCATATGGTTCAAAGATCTAAAACCAGTAACAATTCAGTAGTTCAATTAGTTGCTAAGTATTTACTTTTGTTTAGTATAATATGCATATTGAGTGGCATTAATATCAATACTGTCAAAGTGACTATACTAACCAAGGCAATCTACAGATTCCATGCAATCCCTATAAAATTACCAGTGGCATTTTTCACAGAACTAGAACAAAAAATCTTAAAATTTGTATGGAGACACAGAAGACCCCAAATAGCCAAAGCAATCTTGAGAAAGAAAAACAGAGCTGGGGGAATCAGGCTTCCTGACTTCAGACTATACTACAAAGCTCTAGTCATCAAAACAGTATGGTACTGGCACAAAAATAGAAATATAGATCAATGGAACAGGATAGAAGGCCCAGAAATAAACCCATGCACCTATGGTCACTTAATCTATGACAAAGGAGATAAGACTATACAATGGAGGAAAGACAGTCTCTTCAGTAAATGATGCTGGAAAAACTGGACAGCTACATATACATAAATGAAATTAGAACATTCTTTAACACCATACACAAAAATAAACTCAGAACAGATTAAAGACCTAAATGTGAGACTGGACACTATAAAACTCTTAGAGGAGAACATAGGCAGAACACTCTCTGGCATAAATCACAGCAATATCTTTTTCAATCCATCTCCCAGAGTAATGGAAATAAAAACAAAAATAAACAAATGGGACCTAATTAAACTCAAAAGCTTTTGCACAGCAAAAGAAACCATAAACAAAATGAAAAGACAACCCACAGAATGGGAGAAAATATTTGCAAATGATGTGACTGACAAGGGATTAGCCTCCAAAATTTACAAACAGCTCATGCAGCTTAATATCATCAAAACAAACAACCCAATCAAAAAATGTGCAGAAGACCTAAATAGACATTTCTTCAAAGAAGACATACAGATGGCCAAGAAGCACATGAAAAGATGTTCAACATTGCTAATTATTAGAGAAATGCAAATCAAAACTACAATGAGATACCACCTCACACCAGTCTGAATGCCTATCATCAAAAAAATCCACAAACAACAAATGCTGGAGAGGGTGTGGAGAGAAGGGACCCCTCCTACACTGCTGGTGGGAATGTAAATTGATACAACCACTATGGAGAACAGTATGGAGGTTCCCTAAAAAACTAATAATAGGACTACCACATGATCCTGCAATCCCACTCCTGGGCATATATCTGGAGAGAAACATGGTCCGAAAGGATGCATGCACTCCAATGTTCATTGCAGCACTGTTTACAATAGCCAAGACACGGAAGCAACCTAAATGTCCATCGACAGAGGAATGGATAAAGAAGATGTGGTACATATATACAATGGAATATTACTCAGCCATTAAAAAGAGTGAAATAATGCCATTTGCAGCAACATGGATGGACCTGGAGATTGTCATACTGAATGAAGTAAGTCTGACAGAGAAAGAGAACTATCATATGATATTGGTTATATGTGGAATCTAAAAAGAAATGATACTAATGAATTTATTTACAAAACAGAAACAGACTCACAGACTTAGAGAACGAACTTATGGCTACCAGGGGGGACGTGGGGGGAGAAGGGATAGTTAGGGAGTGTGGGATTGACATGTACACACTGCTGTATTTAAAATGGATAACCAACAAGGACCTACTGTATAACACAGGGAACTCTGCTTAATACTATGTAACAACCTAAATGGGAAAAGAATTTGAAAAAGAATAGATACATGTGTATGTATAGCAGAATCACTTTGCTGTACACCTGCAACTATCACAACATTGTTAATCAACTATACTCCAATATAAAATTAAAAACAAATAAAACCAGCAACAATTTAGTAGTTCAGTTAGTTGCTAAGTAGTTACTTTTGTTTAGTATACTATGCATATTGAGTGGCATTAATAATATAAATTGAGAAAATTTTGTTGCTGATAAATTTTGATACTTATAGGTGATGAATTAACTTCAAGAAGCATGTGACATAGCAACTAGATAGTCTCCTATAATAGTCAAAAGGCAAAACAAGATCATTGTGTTTAAAATGAAACATCTTTCCATTAAATGACAAGAGATGTTAATAAAAATGACCTTATAAGTAATAATTTTATTTGGGAAGAAAATCATTTTAAAAAGTATTATTCACAGTCTATAATATAGGCAAGTCACTTTTATACACATTACCTAATTGTAAACTATAAGACAGATATTGTTATCCCCACTTTATATATGAAGAAACTGAGAGGTTAAGTGATTTGCACCAGGCTAAGTAGTTAAGTAGCAGAACTGAAATTCCCATCTGGGTCTGCCCATGTCTAAAGTCTACCCAGCACAGGGAACTCTACTTAATGCACTGTGGTGACCTAAGTGGGAAGGAAATCCAAAAAAGAGGGGATACATGTATATGTATAGCTGATTCATTTTGCTGTGCAGTAGAAACTAACACAACATTGTAAAGCAACTATGCTCCAACAAAAATTAATTAAAAAAAAAAGAAAAACAAATACCGTCAATGGAAATGTATCCATTTGTAATACAAATAAACTCTTTTGAATCAAAATAAATAAAGTCTACCCAAAAGACAATTTACTAGGTTCCTCTCACCTCTACAGACCGAGCAAAGCTTTTGCACAAGTTCAAAATTTATTCTAAAAAACATACACTAAAAATCTTGATCCTCCATTATACAGTTAGAATTTGGATGGTTGTAAAACTATGAAAGAAAGGCTTACAAGGAGGAGCAAGGATTAACTTCCCTCTGTGATCAAACACTGATGTCCATTTCTTTCCTCCTCTCTGTTTCTCTCTCTATCTCTCTGTCTCTCTGTCTCTTTTAGAGCCAGAGAGTATATTGATATACCCTGTAGAACTAGATGGGAAGAATCAGCCCCAAGATTTGAGAAAATAAAAACCCCAAACCAAATAAACAAACATTCCCCCTGTCCCACTCCCCAAAAAACCCATGAAGGATACAGTATGAATTACAAGGAGAAAATTAAAGCAAATCATTTTTCAACTGTTCCTTGGAATCGTGGATGTGTCCTGAAGTCAAGAAAGGGTCAAGAGGAAGGCTAGGAGGCTGGGAAGTCTGGGTAACTCTGCTGAAAACCCCCAAAGGCCTGCTTTTATTAATTTAACTTTTAAAAATGTATTTGGGTTCTATTAAGAGTTTATTAGAAGAAAGGGTTTTCTACTAAAATATAAGTTGGATAGTCACTTAAATTTCTATATTGTAATGTATGGTTTGTATATAATAGAATTAAGTAGTTAAAATCATAGACTTTGAAGCTAGAATGCCTGAGTTTGAATCATGGCTGTGTTATGTACTAGCTGTGTAACCTTGGAAAAGTTACTTAACTTCTCTGTGTGTCCATTTCTACATTGTAAAATGGAGATAACAATAGAACCTACTTGAAAGAGTTGCTGTGACTAAATGAGTTAATATATGTAAAAGTGCCTGGCACATAGTAATTGATATTAAAAATTACCTATTATCATCTGGGCTTACACGCCTGCCTTGTCCTTGCCAGGCCATGGTGAAAAGACTTCTTGTTTGAGTCTCTGCTTTCTAACCCTTGAGTTTCCTACACATGGTTGACATTCAAGATCTCTCTTTACGAAAAGTTTAATTCTTCCAATTTTAGCCCAAGAAAAGAGACTGAACCCCATCCTCATTTTCACAGTTCTGGCTTCTCAACAATGACTCACTCTTCCATGGGTGATTGATACTGATAATGATTTCCTCCTTTATGGCAGAATCTGTCTACTCACAGGTCTTTACCCATGCAGTTCTCAACAGTTAATCATATGTCAATGCTCATTCATTTATTTAACAAACATTTATTGAGTTTTTACTATGTGCAGTAAAAAACCCAAGTCCCTACCCTCCTGAAGCTTATAGTTTAAAACAATAACTCCAATATTTATATAAGACATACACATACAATAATGGGAGATTATTACTGTAAATAATTGTGACCCTGAGACTTAGCATAGTGCTTGAGACATAGCAGGTGCTAATATCTTAAGTGAATGTTGTATGACTGAATGAATAATTGCTACATTAGCTAAATATGACTCTTTAAAATACTCAAGAAAGAGAAGACCTATTATTTTCAAGCTTTTAAAGTACTATTTATAATATATAAGCATAAACAAGTCAGTTATACAGTTTATATATTTTAGTGCAAATAGAACTTACCTCTGAGGAAGACTGTGAGAGATTGAAACCTAAATGGCTGGTTGTTAGAATATCCTTGAAAAGCACGAAGTGCCTTTGTGGTAATTATTTCAACTATCTGTTTATCTTAAGGCAAAGAGTAAAAAAGAATCAGTTATTAGCATATATATTCAATTTAATTTCCACATTAAAATATCAGACATTATTTTAAAAATTGTAATTGTAAAACGTAAATGCATTTTTTACCACCAAGTACTCTAAATTTTCTGTCTTCTTGAAGTGAAGATGAACATAGATTACACAAAAAGTCATTTCTTATCGTTGCAGACTCTGTAGCACCAGGTACATGCACTCTTATATACTGAAATCCTGAAAGAAAACAGTTAAGCTAAATTTGCCTTCAGATTTAGCTTTCCATTTTCAATCCTTTAAAATGAATCTAATTCAACATACAATTAAATCAGTTTTGCATGTGGGTTCATAGCAGTAACATTTATTGCATGGCTATTTCTTGCCAGGCACTGGTGATATGGATACTTAAGCACACAATTTCAATAGGTGGCAATAAGAAACAGATAATTTCAATATGCAGTATTCATATACAAAGTGTTCAGAGAGAAGAGAGGAGAGGCATCCAACCCAATAAGAGGTGGGGATGAATGGGAAAGATGTCCTGGAAGTTAAGCCAAAGGGTTGAGAGAGGACATTACATGGAGAGGGAACAGCATGAACAGTCATGAAACAGCGTGTGAGACAAACAAGTACTTCAGCAACACAAGAGCATCTGTTAAATTATAGGGGAGAGGTGTGGAAGAAAGAACGAATTTCAAGATTATGCAAAGCAGACTTGTAAACATTAGGACACATCTAATTTTACTCCATTCTTTCTATGCTGTGAATGTTTTTTAACTAATTGTAAACATGATTTAAGATTAAACAATAAATTGCTTTGATTTTACATTTTAATATTTACCTTTTGAAAGAGGGCATGCTTCATCTGAACAAAGAAATCTTGCACCTTGTGTATACTTGGTTACAGTTGTCATTGCAATCACAATTCCTTGCATCATATAAAATCTTTGAGATGTATAATCAAGCGGAAACTCACAAAGATCAAGACTATAACTTGGCAGAGGAGGTAAATGTGTTAACTTCAGCAGTATATTAATCTAATAAGAACACAAAAATATTATTAATAAAAATTGCAGATCCAATTGGACTTACATTACAATATAGTAAGTATATTTGTAGGTTAAATCAAACAGATAATTTGTTAGTAGTATTAGGAAACAATCTTTTGAGCATTAAGAGAAAAGTGATTTAAATATAAAATTAAAGATGCAAAATCCTTATAATCTTATATTTTAATTGAAAATATCATTATGAACTCATTTTTCTTTAAAAATACACATTTCTCGCTATATTCACTGAAAAGACTTATTTATAAAACAATGACAACTCAATAGCAACAAACACTTTAGTGCCCAGATCTCTAAATATAATTTCTCATGAAAAGGAACCAGAGCTCCTTAGGGGAAATGGCTGATTCCATGGGGCAGAAAATACACCAGATGGACCTCCTTGTACATCTCCTTGTGATAGAAACCAGGGGGGCTTAAAAACTAATGAAATGTGTCAAAAGGACATAAGAACAAACTTTAAGGAGCTCCCAATGACCAAAGTTAGATAATATAGGCATCAAAAAGAATGACAAAGATTCATTGAAACCTATCAGATATATTTAAAAATTCATGTAATTCCTCATAATTTAAAAAAGGAAAAACAAACAAAAAATATTGGTCATCATTGGAGGCTGTTATATTTCAACTCATCACTATGAAAATTTATACATGGAAAGAATCAAACATTCCTTCTACTTTTCCTGTACAAATTGTATTGCAGGGTAACCAAATAGTTGATGAGAGGAAAAACTTCTCTTACAGGATAGTTTCAGCCAGTAAATATAGAAAGTTTGCTAAAATTAGGAAAATCACAATTTTGAAACTCCTAATGAAATAATGGAATCTAGGCAGTGACTATCAGTAGCTGCGAAAACCATTAGGTGACAGTTGATGGGAGACTGTATATTGAAGGAATCAGACTGACATCATGTGCACCCACTGCTCAATTGTGGCATTGCTAAAAGTGGGATAACAAATAGGACAGTTCTCCTAATGTAGGGCAGTATGAAACACATGACACTATGATATATTCTCATCAAAATGAGATGAATTTGAATCTAAGCAAGTCTTTAGAGCCAACTTTTTTTCCAGAAATTTGGTGTCTAGGGGCATAAGTTAAATACTACAAGAACATAATCAGACAAGTCCAGATGAGACATTTTACAGGACAATTAACTAGTTTCTTCAAAAATTCAATGGCATAAAAAAGGAGGGGGAGGAAATGGCTCTAGATTAAAAGAGACTTAGGGAGATGTAAGAACCAGTTATAATGTGTGTACCTTGTTTTAGTCCTGACTTGAACACATCAATTGTGAGACAGTCTTGAGACCCCGACTGGGTAAATTTCAATATGGACTGGATATTAGATGATACCAAGGAATTATTTTTTTTTTGTAAATGGTAATAATGGCATTGTGGTTATATAACAAAAATGTCCACAATTTTTAGAGGTTGATACATACCGAAGTATGTAGGGGTGAAATACAGAATGTATTTTAAAGATTTGCTTTAAAACATTTCAGAAAAAAAGTGATGATGCCAGTATGGCAAAATATTGCAAACGATTAAATCTGCGTGATAGATATATGGAGGTTCACTGTATTATTCTCTTTATTTGGGGGTATGTTTGAAATGTTTTATTATAAAAATGTTTAATGTTATAAGTGATAAAACAGGAAGTAAAGATGCATATGTAAGATAATTTATTAAACTTTGAAAATATGTTTAAACAAAAAATATATATGAATATAAAAATATTTATTTACAAGGTATCTTGAAAGTATTGTGCCTTAGTTTTCTTTGTTAAATTTAACTAAAACTTACTTGAGCTTCAGTCTGTAATTGTTCAATTAATGAGAGAGTCTTAACAGCAATAAAACAGACCTGTGATTTCAAACAAAAAACCAAATAAGTTAGCAAAAATTCCATGTGGCATAAAATTATCTCTTTCTTTAACTTACTGATTGAAAAACTTGAGCAGCTTTTAAAGGCTGGTGTAAAATATGATTTCCAAGTTCAGCATCCAACTCAATAATATCAGAGGGATTTACTAAAATACTGAATCGATAGACAGCATAACTTTGTTTTGAATCTGTAAAAATACACAAGTATAAAAATGAGGATAGTTATACGTAGGACTTTAAAGTTTCTAAAATAAAGTCAACTTTGCTGAACATACCACTGTAGGATTTGCAATTGTCTATGAACTTTTGGAGGCCTCCACTTCTGTCAAGATAGATAAGGGCTGCCTCTTTCATTTTTAGATTTGACATTTTCTCCTAGTTAATGATTCTTCTCTTTTACTGAATGATTAAACCACAGCTGCTGGTGAGGACTACAGAGAGTGAAATTCATAGCAAAGACAGGAACACCTAGAAATAAAATAAAAGTGACATTTAAGGATCTATAATAAAACTGTTTAAACTATTAAATGTAAAATTGAGGGTGAAATAAAATGAGGTAAAATTTCCAACTTAAAAAATTCCTGGGAGTTCCCTGGTGTCCTAGTGGTTACGATTCCGGGCTTTCACTGCCATGGCCTGGGTTCAATCCCTGGTCCGGGAACTGAGATCTGGTAAGCCGTGCGGTGCACAAAAAAAAAAATCCTACTCAAAGATAAACAAAACTGGTTTCTCTTGCCAAATGATATTTTTATCAACACTAGGTTATGAGCCTCTCCATAAGATTTCAAATTTAAGAACAGGAGCTTCAAATGTCTCTTTACAGAGTAGGTATACCAAAAATGCTTGTTGAAACTAATATTGGATAATGAGGCCCCCTTGCAGGCGTTGTTTAAAAAAATGAAAGTGGTAAAAGCTGTTTCACAAATTCAATATAAGTAACAAAGTATAGCTAGCCTAAGAAGTCTGAAAACCTGGATCTAGATCCAGCATTTGCTAGTTGCTATGGGTAAATCACCCAACCTCTCTTGGTTCATCTGTAGGAAATTAAGGGGTTGTATTAGATGATAAGGCCTCTTCTGGCTTTAAATTTTCTATCAGTGACCAACATAAAACACTAAACCATAGTAATGAGAGTGGAATACATAAAATTCATTTAAAGACAGCAAACACCACTTGGAAACAATATATGCCAAACATTGTATTAGGGTCTAGGGATAAAATGAATAAGATTGAATCCTGCCTTCAATGGCTGCCAATTTAGAGGAGTCAGAAATAATGACTATCACATGTATTCATTATCAAGTATTTATTGGGCATTTACTATTTATTGGGTATCAGACTGTCCTAGGCACTGGGGATACAAAGATCAGTAAAATATAGTCCCTACTGTTCAGAGAGTACAGTGAGGGAAAATAGATATGTAAAAAATTATAATTCTGTACAACTTACGTGCTATTAAAGAAATATTAATGTACTAGAGAGCACAGAAGGAACAACATACACGAAATAGCTCACAAAATTTGGGGTCATCCTCGTGTAGGGGTCATAATATTTTCTATTGTTTTAGGACATTTTGATTTAATACAGTGGGGACATAGACATGAAGTGATAAATTCTACTTTAAAGGTGACATTTGATAGGTAAGATGTCACTAATTGAAGGAGAGGTGAAGAGAGGAAGAGAAAGTTTTCCAAGGAGAGAGGTAATCCCCCCTCCCCTAATTTTCAGGCCCATACTGTTGAATCCATACCCCTGCTCCTTGGAGTTCAGGTCACTTTCCAAAGAAAAGTAATCGAGACTGTCCTTCTCCCTATTATATGGCGGGGGGTGGGGAGGGGTGGAGGGACGCACGGGGGGAGGGAGCGGGGAGAGAAACTTCGGAGTTTATTTCTCTGTGGCCCTAAGTTCAACCATCTTAAAGTGTGTGCTGTGTTCAGAACGTTCCATCTGTGCTTCATGAGAACATAAGGTTTCCGGGGCCGAATGAAGGGAGGCTGCTAAAAAGGAAATGGCTGGGTGGAGCTCAACCAGATTGAAAAATTTTGAAGTCCACGATGATTATACAGACAAAGGGGAACCATCAAAGTTTTTAACAGGTGAGTAATATGGTCAGATTTTTATTTTGTAAATCAGTACTTGCCGCCAGTGCGGAAAGTGGGTTGGAATAGAGGAAGAAGTGTCAATAATCAGTTTCTAAGTACTGAAAATAGTCCTGGGAGATGGATGGCCCAATCTAGGGCATTAGGGGTGAAATGGAATGGAGAGGCTGGATTCCGGACATTTTTTTTTTAAAGATTTCACCCTGGACATGGTATCTGGTCTGTGAGGGTGGGTGGATGATGCCGCTCTAATGGAAATATGGAAGCCAGGAGAAGACGAGGGAAATAATAAGGTAAAGCTCCTTTGAAATATGCTGACTCTGACGGGCTCCTGGGACATCCAGATAGACAGAAGCACTGGGGCGACATAAACCAGGGCCTGGCGTTCAGTAACTTAAAAAAGGCTAGAGAGAACGCTGCTCTGGGCATCACCTGGGTAAAGCGGGCGTCGTCCTGGGAAGGGATGCATTTCCAAGGTATGGGAAAGTGGAGGAAAAGACATGGACGCCTTTGGAAAAGCACCCAATAAGCGAACCGGGATAAAATTCTACAGGTCTTCCCACAGCCTAAAGAACCCAAGTGTTGGTTCCCTTGAAACAGACGCGGGGTTGAAACAGACGCGGGGGCGTGTCTTCTCTGAGGGCCGCGGCAGCAGGAAACCACCTCACAACCAAAGTGGATGGAAAGCGAATCCGGCCTCACACCCTGGGCTCCAGGGCCTGTCCCACCCTCAGAAGCAACCTCCAGCACTGCGGACCCCAGCCCAGCAGTGTGTGACCACCCCCCCCCCGCCCCCCGACTCTTGCACCCACCGAGCTTCGCCCGTCGCGCGCCACCTCGAGCCCGAGCCCGGGAACCTGCAGGCCCACGCGCGCATGCGCGCACCTCCCGGCCGTTGGCTGCGTGGAGCCTTCCGGGACCGCCCCTTCCGGTCACCAAGGCAACTACCCTGACATGCCCTCCACCCTCTTTATTAATAGAGTCGCTCGTGCTTCCTCCCTGCAGGGCAAAGGATAGAGAGAAAGATAGAGACCCTCGGTTTTCGTTGTTATCGCAGGCCAAGGGTGTCCCTGTTTGTTTAAAAAAAAACTTACTAAAAACTCTCCTGGTGGGAATGCAAAACGGTGGAGACAATTTGTAAATCTTTCCCTGATAAAGAACCACAGAGTTCTTTATATGACCCAACAATTGCATGTCACATATTACATATTATACATAGATAATATGAGAGGGAATACAGAACATATGTTGACACAAGTACTTATATGTGAATTTTTAGAGTATTGATGTTTATAGTATTATAATAGCCAAAAAGTGGAAACTGATAAATAGGTAAATAAAATGTGGTATATCCATACAACGTAATGTTATTTTGCCATAAAAAGGAATGAGGTCCTAATAATGTGCTACAACACGGATGACCCTTGGAAATACTATGTAAAGCAAAAGATTTAGCTAGACAGGAAAGGGCAAATATTGTATGATTCCGCTTATGTGCAATGTCTCAAATAGACAAATCTGAGAGAGAGAAAATAAATTAGTGGTTGCCTGGGGCTTAAGGGGTGGAGAGTGACTGCTATTGGGTATGTTTTTTTTTTTTCTTTTTAAAATTAAAAATTTTTTTTCTTTAATATACATAAAACTTACCACTTTAGGTTAAGAATCCGCCTGTCGGGCTTCCCTGGTGGCGCAGTGGTTGAGAGTTCGCCTGCCGATTCAGGGCGGTCCGCGAAGATCCCATATGCCACGGATTGGCTGGGCCCATGAGCCATGGCCGCTGAGCCTGCGCGTCCGGAGCCTGTGCTCCGCAACGGAAGAAGTCACAACAGTGAGAGGCCCAAGTACCACAAAAAAAAAAAAAAAAAAAAAAAGAATCCTTCTGTCAATGCAGGGGACACAGGTTCGACCCCTGGTCCGGTTAGATCCCACATGCCGTGAAGCAGCTAGGCCCGAGCGCCACAACTACTGAGAACGCTCGCTAGAGCCTGCAAGCCACAACTACTGAGCCTGCGTGCCTAGAGCCCGTGCTCTGCAACAAGAGAAGCCACCGCAATGAGAGGCCCACGCACCGCAACGAAGAGTAGCCCCCATGGGGGCTTCCCTAGTGGCGCAGTGGTTGAGAGTCCGCCTGCCGATGCAGGGGACACGGGCTCG